ATGAATTTAAATATAAATGCTTGTGTGGATATCTAGTTAAAGGGCGATAATTAATATTTAATCTTACATTAGGTTTTAATTGAATTTAAATCTTATCAAATGATTAATATTCAATTGCCACTTATATATAATTATATTATATATTATTCGGTTCGGATTTGGGTACATATATGAATTGGAGATCCTATAACCATATCCAAAACCATAACCGAATAATATTCACGATTTTTCCCCATACCCAAAATATACCAGAATTTTCATACCCAAATCCAATTCATTCGGACGGTTATTCACGATTATCGAGTTTAATGGTAAAACTTATAATTGTCATTCCTAGGTGAGCAACATGACAAGCTAAAGGCAGTGTGTACTTTATATTTCTTTTATATTCGTTTATAGTTAACAGTTTAGTTAGTTATGAAAATGATTCTTTAATAGTGGTATTTGTTGCATTTATTATGTCACACCCCAAAAATGGTATCATAGTTGAAACGATAATTTATCCAAATTTATTTGGAAGCCAAATACATTGGTAGGCCAACAAAGCCGTGGTTAATTATTGTTCAATTAACCACGATGAATTTCCTTATTTGACACATTCATAACATTTATTTCGGCTTGATCTAACTTAAAGTTAGATTACCTACGTACTCTGTTAAGGGACCAAACCAATCGTAGTTATCATCTTATTTAAATAGTGTATCACTACATAGGAAACAATTTGATCTCAAAAGAATTTTCCCTGAAATAATTGAATAGTAAAAAAGAATTTATAATTGGTAGCATGCCAAAGTTTCCCTGAAATAAATAAATAGTGAAAAAGACAAAAATAATCATCTTCTTTCTTCACCGACCACCTCTATTAAGAACACAAGAAATAATGAAATCAATGGAACTAGTAGTAAGGTGGCTGGAGACAGAGGGAGAAAGGATGAATTTGGGGACAACGATTAAAAAGAAAAGGGAGGGGGGGGGGAGAGGGGCCATAATAATGTCACATAAGTAAACATAACAGTTATATAACGGAATACATAGAAACAACCCAAAGTGGAGTGAATATTGAGTTTGAAGAGTAAGTGCCGATTTTTGAGTTTCATGGGACAAAATGAGATTGAAATCGAGTTTCAATGAGCAAAGTGGCGTGTTTTGAGTTCCGAGGAACAAAGTGGATCGAAATGTAGTTCTACTGAGCAAAGTGGTGACTTTTGAATTTCAGGAGACGAAGTGGGATCGAAATCGAGTTTCAATAAGAGTAGCAAATTTAAGTCTTAATTTTTTTTGAAGTTTCTTAAGGGGACTGTTTCTCGTGGACTATGGATTACTGTTATATTCGCAATAACGTGGCAAAAAGTTACTTTTATCTGTTTAAAGAGTATGAGGAGAAAATTCTATTACTAGTTTGTTGTCCCTAAGCCCAAACTTAATTAAAATGGATAATTTTATAAAGTCGAGTTAAAATTGAATAAATAAACTTGAGTTATATAATCGCAATCGGTATCTATTTTAGAGTTTCAAGCAAATTGTAACCCACTAATTTAGACATGCACGCGATGGTAGGTCAAATAAGAATCTACGTCGTGCTATATTAGGACATATTATGACTGCTATGGATATAACAAAAAAAGTACTTAACTGATTCTTTGGATTGGGAATGATAGAATAGTAGAATTAGGAGGAGAGGATAAGATCCATAATCTCCGATTATTATTCCAATTAATTTCGGGAGCAGTTTTGCTCGCCATCATAATTATAGTGTATTCCCACTATACACATTATCATATGTCACGTGTCTTTTCACTTAACACAATTAACTTTTCTATAAATGTTCATTCTTCATGTAAAAACACACGTGACATATGATGATGTGTATAAAATAGTGGGTTTAAGTTACAACACACATTCCCTCGCCGATGAACAATCATTGCGTCTCTTTACAAGTAATACATTCTTAAAGGGATAAGATTTTCTAGTATCTTAATTTCTTAAATACAACTTACTAGTGATTTACACCATCACACATCCATAATATGCGCTATAAAATATCAACGGTCACAAAATTCGTGCAGGGGCAATTTCTAACCGTGAGTCCGACAACAATGTTAAAACTAGACAGAGTAATAGTCGCACAATCCCATTAACCATTACAACCAAAGTAACACAAGTGCCTACACGCATACCATACTAATACGGAAACTGGATTATCTTATTCATATGAGATGGACTCTCTATCCACATCTTTAGTCCTCACTTCATTGCCACTACTCTTGCTTACTGCTGCAGTTCGTTCAGGAAATCCTAGTTGTCAACCAGGACCTACAAGCACAACGTCAAGAACCAAAGTAATGAGCTCAACCGTTAATGATGCATCGCCTCTAAATTGTTAGATGTATTAGATGCAATATAAGCACACACGCAGAGCATGCAGACATTTTCACATGTGGAAAAAGTCAAACAGACGCTGGACCTTCAATCTTTCAGCTGTGGATTAGTTACATGCCACTCCTTGTCCTTGCCCGCGATAAAATTAACTAAATTGACATTAGAACTATTGTTTATATAACTAACCACGCCGAAATAACAGGGGATGAAGCATAGTAATCACGTTCTATTTTATCTTTGCGCTTCAATGTTCCAATGCCATACGAAATGTAACAATAAAACAATGATAAAGTTGAGCAACAACTAAACAAGCGAAAACTCACAGTTTTCCAACCATCGGGATCGAGAAAAGAGGTGATCTTGGTGTTGAGTACAGGAATCGGTCCAGGCTGTCTGGTTATCTTTCCTCCAAGCTCTTGTGTAACCGAATTGACAGCCTCAGCACTTTTGTAGACATCATCGGTACTGATAGTAATCCGGTATATGCAGACACAAACGTATCAGGATAGTAGAAATTGTTTGAGAATTAAACGTTTTTAAAAGGACAAAATATGGAACAAGTTGCAAAAAAAGTCTGACCTGTGCATACGCATTTCCTTTGGTGTATTTGGTCACACCATAGCTATAGGTCAACTCCAAGATAGTTGCTTGGTCATCTTCTATATGTACAGATCGTGCCATGGGGGGTGGGGGGGGGGGCGGCGGGCGGGCTGTTGGGGGAGGTTTCTACTGCAATTGTTTGCTGCGAACGGTGGTCTATCAATTAGGCAACCAGTGGAGATTCTCTTAGCCTAAAAGAAAAAGTGATGCAACTTTATTTCAGGAGGTCATTTCGGCTCAATTTTCTTCCTTAATCATGATTCCACTTTGGGCCCTGAATGCCATTTTTGGCCCAATTTGCCCCATAAATTTAAATTATATTTCCACTTTATTCCTGCCAATTTTTGAGCCCACACGTTGACGTGGTATTTGGAAATTCATAACTTTATTTATTTATATTGCTACACGTGTGGAGCCTACTTGGCATGCACACACAAGAAAACAAAGGATGAGGATTCTCTCCGGATTCTCATCATGGGAATCTTAGTGATCCTCACATTCTAATCGTTTATCGCAGATCGTGCGATCATTTTTCGTGAGGTACTATGTTTAATTTTAAATAAAAAATTTAAAATAATTTTTGACTGCATGATGTACATAAACGGTTAAGATATAAGGATCCATCAGATCCCCATAATTTGGATCCAAATCAGAAAATAAATACGCTCTTTGCATGCCACATCAGCATCCAGATGAAATAAGATGGGACTTGACGACACGTGGCAAATGGGACGATAAAGAGCATTAGAGCATCTCGTAGTGCAAATTATAAAATAGAGAGTGAAGAGTGCATTTAAAAGAATAGTTTCATCATTAGCAGACTACATATTATTGAATTTTATTTTTAAATTCTTATATAAAATGATTATTTAAACTTTATAAGAATTTAAAATAGAATTTTTTTTTTATGAATACACCCTCAAATTATGTTTAACGTTTTTTCAAATTTTCTTCAAGCTCTCAAAGCAACTATCACATTTCATTATAAAACTAAACCCGAACTACAAAGGTAAGAGAGAGAGTTGAAAAGTCATGGAGTTGTACAAAATTTTAATGTTCAGGAGGAGATAGAATTTGCACAATAAAAAGCCCTGAGTTAAATTGCAAATATGTTAAATGATTAAAAATGATATGAAATTTAATATGGTATAATAATTGAAAAAAAAATAATGTATCAAATATTGTCATTTTGTAAAATATGCAAGGGTATAATTACTATTTGAAAATTTCATTAAATGGACATTATTCATTATTCGTTAAAAAAAATATTTATTTTAGAAGTTGTCATGCTTTTACTTTTCTACTAGTATTGACAACAATTTTTTAAATAAACATTTTTTATTTATTTTACCTAATCCATTTGATGTTTTAGATTATTTAATAAGTTTTTTTTTCAAAAGCACCACATCCCAAATAAGTCCTAAGAATTTGAAGGTGGTGGTGATTTTCAGATATAGGCCTTTGTGCACGCATACCGCCATGTAGTAGGTTTTTTGTTGTGACGGGAATACGGAGGATACATCACGTGTTTTTATACAAGTAGTAGAAAATTTTAATTTTAAAGTTATTAACCTTTTAACACACATAACTCATCATTTATATATAAACATATGGTGTATTATCTCGTGTGACGGTCACACTGAAAAACTCTTATGTGGTCAGTCGGTCGAGCAAAAAAGTTTCAGTAAAAAAAAATCTCTCTCTTCTTTCTCTCTCTAGGATTAAAAGGCTGCCATTTTTTATTTTTTATTAATTGAAAAACTGGCTCACACATATTCCATGCAGAAGTAGGCTCACACATACAGACTTGGATTCTCTGCCCTCCAATTTCTGTATCCTCCTCGTGTCCTCCTGTTTTTGTGGTCTCGGTTAAGCCACGTCAACATTTTATATTACTATTTCTTTTTGTTTTATTATTTTTATAAAAAAATAATATAAAATATTGACGTGACTTAACCGTGACCATTCAAAACAGGAGGGCACGAAAGGGCAGAGGGCAGACAATCCAAGTCCCACACATACTCCATGCCATCAATTTCTACTCGTCTCTCAGAAAGTGGAAAATGACCATGGAATTCAAAGTGAAGGCACTGGTTTCGGTTATATATGTGCTCTCCTTCCTGAGCTATGGCGGCGCTGCAGCTACCGCTGTGACCAGCACCACCAATTACTCTGCTGCACCTGGTGCTGCGACCAACACCGACCACCACTCCGATGGCGGCGTCGCATCTGGTTGGGATCTTGCATCCAACCTCCAACACCGAGCACGTACCGCTTTCTGTATGTGCGACACGACTTGTGGTACGTAATCTGATTACGCACCTTTCATTTTTTCCCCTTCTTGTTCTGTTAAATTGTTTGTTTGGATCAGGAAGATAGCAATTAAATCGGTTTTTGCATTTTCTTTTCTTATTAACCCAGTCATGTCCTGGAGGATGGATTGGAATAATATTTAGGAAAAAACTACCGTTTAATTGGTTTAATTTCTAATGCAGGCTCTGTTTCGGCTGGTGCTGCGACCAACACCACCGATTACTCTGTTGGCGGCGGCGGCAGATCTGGTTCGGATCTCTCGTCCAACCTCCGACTCCGAGCATGGGCCAGCGACTCGACTCTTGGTATGTATTCTGATCATCTTCTAAATTATCTTGTTTTGTTCCTCGTCCTGTTTTAATTATCTTGTTTGTTAATTTGGCTGGTTAGAAAATTATCGTGCTTGGATCCTTTTGTTTTAGTTATCTTGTTTGTTAATTTGGCTGCTAAGAAAATTATCCTGTTTGGTTCCTTGTTCGGTTTTCATTATCTTGTTTGTTTGGCTGCTAAGAAAATTGTCCTGTTTGGCTGGCAAGAAACAGATATATGTGGATTGGATGTTGAGTGGATGACTGATCGAATGAATATTCACTGCCTATCAATTGCTAATTTTTCATTTTTATCAAGGAACGACAATGAACTAGTTTTTATACACGTCCAAGTACTAAATTGCAATAATTCTTAAATTATACGAGTTATTGCTACACAAGCGATATTAAAAGAAAAAAATCCAAATGCTCGTAACCACTTTCGTTGCAAGTTTTTTTTTGGCTAAATAATTTAGACAAAATGTAATCAGGAAGTAAGTATGCAGTTTCTTGAATCCGAATGATATTTATATATACCCTCCTCCTTTTATCTGAAAAATATTATGACTGGCCCACGGGCCACGTGCTCTCCCTCCTCCTTGCTTCTGTCGAATTAGTATATATATCTCTACAGTACATAGTGCATTTCAGAGCATATCATGTCATAAGTGTCATTTTCCGATTTCAAGAAGATTTCAAGAAACGGCGGAGGCCAAGAATCCGAACGCTCTCGCACACATGGAATCGTCGTTCCAACCGTGGCTCATTCTCAATTCGATCCGATCAATCCAACATTGGAGACGCAGTTTGATGGTGGATGATGGAAGATACGAATCAGAAAAATTGGAAGTTGCCTTCTCGGGCATGGTTTCAGTGGACAAAGCCCTTCTTAATGTCCTGACGAGCCTGATATCCAATGAAGTCAAGAAACGAAAAGGAAGCCTGAAGGTGGGGGTCAGCGGAGATTTAAGTTCGGAGGACGATCTTGAAACCTTGTCAGCAATTATCAGTGCTCTTGAGCAAGCTCTTCCACCGCCGCCGCTGCTCCCGCTCTCACGCCCATGGAATCGTCGTCGTTCCAACCAAGACGCATTCTAAATTCAATCCGGTCCATCCAACAGTGCCGGCGGAGAAGGATGATGGAAGATACGAATCAGAAGAATTGAAACCTGCCTTATTGGCCATGATTTCTGCCTTCTCAGACATGGTTTCAGTGGAAAAAGCCCTTCTCAATGTCCTGAGGCGCCTGATATCCGACGAAGTCAAAAGAAGAGGAAGTTTGGAGGTAGGGGTCAACGGAGACATAAATTCGGATGAGGATCTTGAAATGATGTCAGCTATTATCAGTGTTCTTGAGCACCAGAAGCAGCAGCAGGAGGGAACTCTTCCTCCGCCGTAGCTACCACCGCGGCTCCTCCCGCTCCTGCTTCTGTCACGCCAATTACGAATTGGATTTCACAAAAGAGGATGCTGATTCTCAACAGTGGCACACGTGCCTTTGACAGAATATTGGAGGATCTGGTTTACAGAGCAGTTTCACGGGTTATTGAAGGTTTTTTTTTCAAATGAACGCAACCAATTGATGGTGATGTTACGGCAAAAAGGAATTAGGTGATCCTTTTTTCTGATATTGTTTTTTTGTAAAAATGTCTTTTTTCTGATTGTTGTTGATGAATTGAGGGTTTAGAAAATTTGTACAAATATAAAATTTGTAATGGAAACTATTCATTTCTCATTTCGGGCTTAAATACGTATCGACTATGAACATGAAATTGGCCGGAAAAGTTACACCAAACCTGATCTAGTAATCCAGCCAAAAGTTTGGGCCATGTATCAGGCCCAACCAGCCTTAACCGGATCTAGCCCAGCCCAGTAACCAACCCAAATCATTAACCTTAACCCAAGCCCAGACTCGGATCCCATCCCAGTTCCAATGTCCCTGAGTGGGTCGGCAAGTGGGTGCGCGTCATAGACGGCGCGTGGAGTACACACGCATCTGCCTGAAGTAGCTTTCTCCCCGTCTACGGCGGGGCCGGCCTATTTTCTGGCCAATTTCATGTTCATCGTCGATACGTATTTAAACCCGAAAGGAGAAATGAATAGTTGCCATTACAAATTTTATATTTGTATAATTTTTCTAAACCCTCAATTCATCAACAACAATAAGAAAAAAGGCATTTTTACAAAAAACAATATCAGAAAAAAGATCACCTAATTCCTTTTCGTTGTAGCATCACCATCAATTGGCCGCGTTCATTTGAAAAAAAAAACCTTCAATGACCCGCGAAACTACTATGTAAACTAGATCTTCCAATATTCTGTCCAAGGCACATGTGCCACTGTTGAGAATCAGCATCCTCCTTTGTGAAATCCAGTTCGTAATCGGCGCGACAGGAGCAGGAGCGGGAGGAGTGGCGGCGGTAGCTGCGGCGGAGGAAGAGGTTCCTTCCTGCTGCTGGTGCTCAAGAGCGCTGATAATAGCTGACATCATTTTAAGATCCTCCTCCAAATTTATGTCTCCGTTGACCCCCACCTCCAGACTTCCTATTCTTTTGACTTCGTCAGATATCAGGCACCTCAGGACATTGAGAATGGCTTTTTCCACTAAAACCATGTCCGAGAAGGTAGAAATCATGGCCAAGAAGACAGGTTTCAATTATTCTGATTCGTATCTTCCATCATCCTTCTCCGCCATCAATCTCCGCCGACACTATTGGATGGACCGGATCGAATTTAGAATGCGTCTTGGTTGGAATGACGACGATTCCATGTGTGCGAGAGCGGGAGCGGTGGAAGAGCTTGGCTCAAGAGCACTGATAATTGCTGACAAGGTTTCAAGATCGTCCTCCGAACTTAAATCTCCGCTGACCCCCACTTTCAGGCTTCCTTTTCATTTCTTGACTTCGTCGGATATTAGGCTCGTCAGGACATTGAGAAGGGCTTTGTCCATTGAAACCATGCCCGAGAAGGCAGGTTCCAATTCTTTTGATTTGTATCTTCCATCATCCACCATCAAACTGCGCCTCCAATGTTGGATTGACCGGATCGAATTGAGAATGAGCCACGGTTGGAACGACGATTCCATGTGTGCGAGAGCGTTTGGATTCTTGGCCTCTGCCGTTTCTTGAAATCTTCTTGAAATCGGAAGATGACGACACTTATGACATGATACGCTCTGAAATGCACTATGTAATGTAGAGATATATATACTAATTCGACAGAAGCAAGGAGGAGGGAGAGCACGTGGCCCGTGGGCCAGTCATAATATTTTTCAGATAAAAGGAGGAGGGTATATATAAATATAATTCGGATTCAAGAAACTGCATACTTACTCCCTGATTGCATTTTTTCTAAATTATTTAGTTACAAATTACAATATGGTAAAACCAAATTTAAATCATTCTGAGAAACATGAAATAACATAAATTAAGTAATAAATAGACATTTGCATTCAAACAAAATACAAGGATTGAGTCATTTACCGACTTAAGACCCAACAAGTGCATTGAGAAAAAGATGTCCTATAAAGAAGACAGAATAATTGTTAGCGGTCGAACCTAGTGATTTTGAGGCATAACAGAAATAATGGCATCATTCTTCAGTGTTTAACCTTAATCTCAAATACAAGAAAATACTTAGGAAGATCAAATTTAACACAAGACCGTATATACCTGGGGTGGCAGGGGAAAAACATATATTGTTATATGTTTAAACTGCTCACACAATTCAGGAAAGAATGGATGTATCCATTTAGAGGCTGCACCGCCCATTGGCCATTGGCCATTGCCCAACAAGTAAGTAAATTCATTACTTGGAAACCTGTGATCATGAAGCCACGCAAACATGAACAGCCAAAGAACGTATATTACTTGTAGTGTTTGTGTATTGCACAGTTCTGGTTTTTAATGCTCTCTAGTATAACTAGAAATGTATCACATAAAATGTATGGGTGTTATTGTTAATTGTATAAGAATCAGTTTAACTTAACATGAGGGAATGGGTAATACATACATTTATGTGCACTCTTAGTCAATGGTAATTAAGTCCTACAACATGAAAAAGCCTCAATGCACATTTTGTGGCGTATCGGGTATATGTAAGCAGGGGCGGATCCACAGTGGGGTTAATGGGGTCACACGACCCCTTGGAAGCCATGGAAACTACCTTAGAGACCCCTTGGAGATGGTGGAACGACCCCTTGGAGCTGACTGGTGCGACCCCTTGGCTGCACACCAACTGTTCGACGAAAGGCTCCTCGGCGGCTGGGCAAAACGAAGACGAAGGAGAAGGCGCTGCGCGCCTGTTTTTTTTTAAAAGCAACCTGGGCAAAACGAGTGCAGTGTTCTGGAATTTCTAAGTTTTTCAGGTTCTGTTCTTGCGACGAAAGGAGGAAGAAGATGAGTTTCTCTCTCATCCTTTCCTTCTCACGTGACCATCTCAAACTTTCCCATAAAATTTATTTTATAATTTTGTCCAATCACATTTGGATAGCTAGCATTAAGTTGACGTTTTCAAAAAGGAAAAATGGGCTGTCAATACCCAGGTTTAAATTTTTATATTCAAGATGGGGAAAAGCAAAGAATAAAAAAGAATAAAATATGGTCTCTGTTTGTGAGTCTCTTGCTAATGTGAGTGATGGAAGGTGTTTGCAATGCTTTTCTGACCGTTGGAGGTGTTTGCATTGCTATCATCAAAGCAATGCCAGACATTTACAAATGTAAGCCACCCATATAACTTGACAGCACGTTAAGCCACGTGTGTTTGGTTAGGGGATTTCTTTGATGATAGCAATGGACGTAGTTTGGGGATGTCTGGCATTGCTTTCTAGTTTTTTTATTATGAAACCAACCAATTCATTACATGAGATTTTTATTTTATTTTTTGAAAAATTAGATATAATTATTCAAAATATCTTAAGTTATATGGCATATATGCTTAATGTGTTTCTAAATTTTAGACTTGTTAGATATTTTTTTTGTACGTTCAGGACCTTTGAACAAGGATTTTGGAGTAGCTAGTCGCGCTATCCCAATGAAATGACGATATGCATGCCGTTTCTGTTAAAAAAAATTTTCGCGCTACGCGCGCTATCCTTATTGAACTTTTACATTGCGACCCCTTGGGGTAAGATTCCTGGATCCGCCACTGTATGTAAGTCTCTACAATTGGGTAACATGGATTATATAGGATTGGGTTCGATAAACTACAACATTGAAGCAGGAAATGGATGTTAACTTGCAAATGAATTAGACACAAAGAAAACTTATTCCTTCCACCTTGGATGGTTTAAGGAATTGGGAATAGAAAAATTAGAGAAAATGCAGATTGGGTGATAAGGGTCGTCAACAAAATTCATTCTTTCACCTTTTTACCAGAATCACGGGGAGACCGTCGGTGGGATATATTGCGGATGGTGGAGAGCTTCTTTCACTCCTCTCCGATGCTAAAGGAGTTAAATCATATAAATATTGTTCTTATACCGACGGTAGACAATCCAACGAAAATGACTCAGTTTCGTCCAATTTTATGGCGCATAAGGTAATCTCGAAAGTCTTGACAAATAGATTGAACGTTGTTGATATGATTTTTAGTATTTGTGCAAATACGGTTAAAATCACTTAAAATACTTGTTAAGAGTACAAGGTAATTGTAGTATAATCGTCATGCAAGATCGTTCTCGACAAGAATTAAATGAATAATTTGTATTTAAACCAACCCTTAATTAATTATTTAAAAACAAATTTAGCAAGAATTGAGATTTTGTAATTTAAAATATTAAAATAACAATAAAAGAAATCTGGAAATTTGGGAAAATCTTTACAAAGAGAGAAAAACGTTTTTTTAGAATAAAATAATTATGAAAAGGTTAGAGTTTAGCTGTTACCATTAACAATTTTTTATGCAATTTTATTAATTACTTGTGAATTTTTACATACATGTTTGGATTATTAGGTTCTCTAATGCATATTTTTCTCGTAATGTTCAAACAAAAACGTGCATATTTTTCTCGTAATGTTCAAACAAAAACGTATATAACATGTAATTCGTTTGTAATATTCAAATTAAATATAAAATATGGATTTTCTTGGGAATTGTTATTAGCATTCCAAAAATCTCATTCTACACTTCAAACTTTCTATATTAGAAAAAATATATATACATATAAGGAGTGTAAAATGAGATTTTTGAAGCGCCAATAACACTTCCCATTTTCTTTTGGTCATAAATAATTTGGAAATTGAGAAAAAGGAAAATTTGACCACCCAGAAAGGGAGAGGCTGCTCCCTCGTATCCATGTACTTGTCCACCACAAGGGACTTTCTCGGCCCGGGCCCACACCACTTGACGAATGCGATGACAATTTTGATCGAGCCCACGAATCGTAGCCCGCCACGTAAGCAGTGCCTATGCGGGGTAGCTATGGTACGGAATAACGTCCAGGTTCAAAGAACCTGAATGGCCTCCCGTTAATGGCTCTGTTTATATAAACATCCTCAGATTAACCTGCTAATCATAAATTTTCGAAATCACAGAGCGAAAAACAGAGGATTCGGATTCAATTCAGAAAATCGTTTTTGAAAATGGCTCTCGCTGTTACTTCTTCTTCTTCTGCTTCGATCTCTGGTCGCACCTTCACTCCCTCCTCAGAACCCAGAGGTACAATTTTTTTCCTAATTTTTTCTTATTTCTCTTTATTGGACTGAGAAACTGGGAAATGTTGATTTGGGATGTGAATTAACGAGTTGGGGTTTCGGATTTTGGAATTTTCAGCTCCGCAATTGGGTTGCATTCGGGTGTTTGATCGATCGTACGGTCAAATTCAAAGCAATGCCGTGACGTTTTCTCAGCGGCGGAGCTCGGTGAAGCCGGTGAATGCGCAGCCGAAGCGGAGCGAGTCGATTGTGCCTTCTGCAGCGACGGTTTTTGCTCCTGGTAAAGACTGAAATTTTGTTTTATTTTTTTTGAGATTATTGGGTTTTTATGTGGGTTTTACTGAAAATTTGAGATTTTTGCAGAGGTGGTTGAGAAAGTAGAGGTGGAGGACTATGCCCAATTGGCTAAAGAGCTCGAGAATGCTTCCCCTCTTGAGATTATGGACAAGGCGCTTGAGAAATTCGGCAACGATATCGCCATTGCTTTCAGGTACTCCTCCCTCTCCGATTTGTACTTCCTTTTCCAATGTAACGTTATACACTATGTGCTACTCAATCAAATAATGTTTTAGTTAAGTAGGTGGTGAGGGAATTATGCATTGAGGGTGGAAATTGTTTGAAAGTAATAATACTCGGCTTCAAATGCATTTGTGTGTTTCTAATATGTTGTTAACGAAAATTAAGGTTTCTCGATGAATTGAGCTAACTGTAAGAAGCTTTGTATAGTTTATGCCTTCTGATGTGTGGATTCAATAGTCAGCCATTTTATTCTCCATATTAACCAACGACTCTGTGTTTGCAGTGGAGCTGAGGATGTTGCTTTGATCGAGTATGCGCATTTAACCGGTAGACCCTACAGGGTTTTCAGCTTGGATACTGGGAGGCTGAACCCTGAAACATATCAATTCTTTGATACAGTCGAGAAGCACTATGGCATCCGCATTGAATACATGTTTCCAGATGCTGTTGAAGTTCAGGCATTAGTAAGGACCAAAGGGCTGTTCTCTTTTTACGAGGATGGGCACCAGGAGTGCTGCCGTGTGAGGAAGGTGAGACCCCTGAGGAGGGCCCTCAAGGGGCTGCGTGCCTGGATCACCGGACAACGGAAAGATCAATCTCCAGGGACTAGGTCTGAAATTCCTGTTGTCCAGGTTGACCCTGTTTTCGAGGGACTGGATGGCGGTGCTGGCAGCCTGGTGAAGTGGAACCCAGTGGCAAATGTTGAGGGTCATGACATATGGAACTTCCTGCGTGCCATGAATGTACCTGTGAATTCACTGCACTCTAAAGGGTACATCTCGATTGGTTGTGAGCCATGCACAAGGTCAGTCCTACCTGGGCAACATGAGAGAGAAGGAAGATGGTGGTGGGAGGATGCCAAGGCTAAGGAATGCGGTCTTCACAAGGGCAACATTAAACAGGAAGGAGGAGGCGAGAATGGCAAGGCTGCACAGTCAAATGGTGCTGCCACGGAAACTGATATATTCACTTCCCAGAATCTAGTCACCTTAAGCCGAACTGGAATAGAAAATTTGGCAAAACTTGAGGACCGGAAAGAACCATGGATTGTAGTGCTCTATGCACCGTGGTGCCAGTTCTGCCAGGCAATGGAAGCATCATACGTTGAATTGGCTGACACGTTGGCCGGGAGCGGTGTGAAAGTAGGGAAGTTCAGAGCAGATGGCGAGCAAAAGGAGTTTGCCCAGAAAGAGCTGCAGCTTGGAAGCTTCCCCACCATACTTTTCTTCCCCAAACACTCTTCTCAGCCGATCAAGTACCCAACAGAGAAAAGGGATGTTAATTCATTGTTGGCTTTCGTCAATGCCCTCCGGTAACCAACCGAAATTTTGAAATGTTTGCAGAAGGTAGTCCTGGTCTGGTTTTCCAGAACCACAGTCCAAGCTCCCCATTCATCTCCATACCTAAACGGTGAAGTCAACATTCGTTGGCTAACCAGCTGCGGTCGCCGATAAATGCTATCGATTCTTCGTTGAATCTGTGTTTTTAGAAATGTATCTATGTTTCTCCAAGAATGTCTCCAAGTCCTTAGGTATAGTGTGTTCACAGTTCCTCACAAGAGGGCTCTTGTAATTTTCATTTTGGTCTCCGGTGAGTGATTTCTGATTTGGTTTTCTTGTAGCATTCACATTTTTAACTGCGGCATTCTTCGTGGTAAAATTTATCAACTTGTGCTTTCTCAAACTAGTTTAGTGGTAAAACACCTTTCCTCTGCCCACCCATTTTTCATAATTATGTTCAAAGGGCATATCTTTCTCTGTGTTACAGTTGAGAAAACCTATAAATTACACATGTTGTTGGTCCAACAACATTTACCTAATTACATTCCATTTGCAGCTTAAAAACATAAACCTTTATGTAGGCATTAAGAAAAACTTTATCGTAACCGGATGTATGTCCCCTCTTACCACATTCGTGCAAAGCGAGAGGAGAGGGGGCATCTTTCCGGTTACATATAAGAATGGGTATCAGATTCATGTTGAAAAATGAGGAATGCAGGCATACTGTTTGATGAAGAATGCAATTATATGAAAATGCAGAAACCTGTCGGACTGAGAGTGTTGTTTTATCAAACTATTGCTGGTGCGCAAAGCAAGGGAAGGCATTTGTTTTTGGTGACCCACCCTCACCTGTACGCTGTCGTTCTACTTGTGCTCGTGACTCACTGCAGAATATGGTGCCGTAGAGACTCTGTAATATTGTATGCTACCCAAGAAAACTCTGGATGCTCGTCACGTTTTTGGCTGGCAATGTCTTTTGCCCGTTTCTCCTCCACAGTACAAGCAGCACTTTCTTACAACGGAAATGCTAATTTGTCGATATTTCAAATTAATTCTACATTGTTATGTGAAAAGTTAAAATGTATGCTAACGTGATTGCTATGAAATATCACTACATTAGCATAACATTGTATAATTTTAATAGGAAGAAAAATTTGCATGCAATCATGATTACCGGGTAGAGATATTTCTAACCAATCAGATGATGCAAGTGAGTAGATTAAAACATGTAACAGAGTATAATAGACCTACAGTACCGCCACATTTACGTTGCAATTGCACTAAGTTTTTACAGTAGTTTGAGCCCAAAAATGTCTTATCCGAAGTGAACCACACCCTTCAGAGAGAAGCAGGAAGCCAGGCTGTGATGCAAGAACACCATCTCAAAGCTGCAGAAGTAACCCCACGTTTTATATTCTTTTTACTTTAATTCCCAACTCTCAACTGGCAACGGGCAAGTGGCAATCGCACAGTACCACCTCCAGAAAGTGCTTTAAATTTTCAAGTATTTCCCTTCAGAACAATTTGCCTTTTGGAGGCAAACCCAACTAGATGGCAAAAGAATCAAAGAAAGTGCACCAACCCCCTTCAAAAACAAGGCCATTTTGGTAAATTACTTGAAGCCACTCACTTAATTTCCTTGCAACAATGCGGTAAATCCTCAGAAGAACTCACTGATTCACGGTAGATCAATTTGGGTCAACAACCAAAAACCCAGAGAAAGAAAGAAATTAAATTAAATAAAACCACACCAGAAAAAAGAAGAAATCTTTTGGAGGATAATGCAAGGATCTGCAGCTGCTGAACCAGAAACAGAGGATGAGGAAGCAGCATTGCTCAAGCTCCTCTCCAATGGCGGTCACTAAGCTCCTCTCCCTCTCAACCCTCCTGTTCTTCTTCCTCTTTGCATACGAAGGTAAGCAACTTTCTCTACTAACTTTTAACATTTTCTTGCTCGGTTTTATTCAATTCAAAGTTTAAATCCAATAGTACTTCAAAAATCAAAGAAATCAAGCAACTTTTTTCCCCGCTTGTGGCATTTTCTTTCTGGGTTTTCTCCGTTATTTCGAAATAATCTAGAAAGCATTCAACTTTTTCACTAATTGTAACATTTGGTTGCTGGGTTTTCTTCATTACAAAGTTTAAACCCAGCAGTCTCCAAAAACCAAGGAAGCAAGCAACTTTCTCGACCGTTTCTAACACTTAATTGCTCGGCACTTTCAGCTGCATCTTCTCCGCCGACATTCGAAAGCACCAAGCTGCAAAACCAGGACCAAGAAAATAAGCCGTTCGTTGGAGTGAACATCGGTACCGACGTTTCGAATCTTCTGTCTCCGTCGGAGCTCGTTTCGTTTCTGCAACTCCAGCAGATCAACCACATCCGCCTCTACGATGCCGACCCGGACATCCTCAAAGCCCTGTCTAAAACCAAGATCCGGGTCGTCATCAGCGTCCCAAACAACCAGCTCCTCGCCATCGGCTCCTCCAACACCACCGCCGTTTCCTGGGTCGGCCGAAACGTCGTCGCTTACTACCCCCAAACCCTCATCACCGGCATTGCGGTCGGTGACGAGGTCTTAACCACCGTGCCCTCTTCAGCTCCTCTACTTCTTCCAGCAATTCAGTCCCTTTACAGCGCTTTAGTGTCTGCAAATTTGCATACCCATGTGAAAATTTCGACCCCTCACGCCGCCTCGATAATTCTCGATCCGTTTCCGCCGTCTCAGGCGTTCTTCAACCAGAGCTTAACTCAAATTGTTTTCCCATTACTTCAGTTCTTGTCGAAAACCGGGTCGCCGCTGATGATGAATTTCTACCCTTACTATGTGTTTATGCAGAACAAAGGTGTGGTGCCTCTCGACAATGCGCTGTTCAAGCCCTTAAAGCCGTCGAAAGAGATGGTGGATCCCAATACTTTGCTACATTATACTAATGTGTTGGATGCTATGATTGATGCTGCTTATTTTTCCATGAAAAACCTTAATGTTACTGACGTCGCGGTTCTTGTTTCGGAGAGCGGGTGGCCTTCAAAGGCGGATTCTAAGGAGCCTTATGCTACTATCAACAATGCGAATACATACAATTCCAATCTTATTAAGCATGTTCTTGATCGTAGCGGAACCCCTTTGCACCCCGAGACCACTTCAAGTGTGTACGTTTATGAATTGTTCAATGAGGATGTAAGGTCTCCGCCGGTGTCTGAGGCCAATTGGGGATTGTTTTATGGGAATTCGAGTGCGGTGTATTTGCTTCATGTATCGGGAAGTGGGTCTTTTTTGGCAAATGATACAACAAACCAGACCTACTGCATTGCCATGGATGGGGTTGATGGAAAGAGTTTGCAGGCTGCATTGGATTGGGCATGTGGACCGGGGCTGGCAAATTGCTCAGAGATTCAGCCGGGTGAAGATTGTTACTCTCCGAATAATGTGAAAAGCCATGCTTCGTATGCATTCAATAGCTATTTCCAGAAGCAAGGGAGGGCTGCCGGGTCTTGTGACTTCAAAGGTGTAGCCACCATTACCACCACTGACCCAAGTAAGTTTTACTCCCTCTACATTATCCGATTACCGTTCTAGCTTGCGTGGATTTCTCATTTTCCCCTTTCATTCAATGATGCTGAGGGCTGAGTTCTCTCTAAAGTTTATAGTATAGCTTAGTTGCAGATTAAGGAGATTTGAGACCTTGATTAGAATTAGTATGAGACTCGATTTTGTTAGATGACGCTGGAATCAAACTTGTCAGCATAGACGATTGCAAACAAGGGAGTGGCCAAGTTGGCAATGCGCCCTCTGTGCACCCAAATTCGAATTCCTGTCTTCGTAGTTTAGATTAGACTAGAATACACTTCCTCTACTGGGGCTCCACTCTATCTGTATACTTTTCTGTTGGTTATGTAATGCAGATATGAACAATAACCTCGTTCCCTTTTCGTTTTTCCTTTTTTCATTGGAATATCGCAGGTCACGGGAGCTGTATGTTTCCCGGAAGGTAAGACTCAGGAAGCTTTCTGTTGTTGCTACATACAGTAAATTGGTTTTCATTTAGCATACAAGTTTTTCAATGTTCTTAAAGAGGGGTGTTTTGTTTTGAGTGCAGTAAGAAGGCGAGCAACACGACGAGGCAAGTGGTGAACTCGACGAATTCGAGTAGCGGAGTAGACAGATTAAGATTCGTTGCCTTCGGCAGCAGCAGAATAAGTGCCATCAGCGGGATGTTATCTGTATTTTTTGTTGGAATCTTCTCTAGTTTGGTATTCATTCCTTTTGTGACTCCATGCTGAGGTTGAAATAAAATTATTTTTTGGGGAATAAATTTTATATTTCTTTTTCAGTATTTGGTAATCTACTGCCGGTGATCTTTTGTTAGATGAACGTGTAAAACGAAGTAAACTGTCATCTTAAAAATTGAATGTGGAGTGACGAATAATTGAACAAACGTGGATTAAGCTAGTTGATTATAGCAGTGTGGCTGCCCGCTTGAACCCGAGTTTGATTTCCACTTTCCATAGAATAGAATCGTTTAGATTAATATCGCTTTTTCAATAAATAAAAAAAAGGAGTGTAGATTAGTATGTAAATCTAACAAATGGAAAAGAAAGGGGAGGGAGGGCAAAGAAGAAAAAGTTGGAATTTAATAAAACAAAAAGACAAGTGCGGTGAAGGTGGATCGAACACCTGACCTTCAGATCTTCAGTCTGACGCTCTCCCAACTGAGCTATCCCCGCAGATGTCTTTTAGTCAAATGAAATTAACAATTTACAGTTGTTGACTATCATAACCCAGCTTGCCATTCTCTTAGAATCCGAGCAGCTACAATGCTTTCCAAAATTCCAAGGAGCGCCAGTTTTCAAATTTGGAAATTAGGGTTCAAGGCCTCCAACAATTACAATGCTCTCCAAAACTCCATGATTTTTGCAGCTTCTGTGTCACTGACTTTCCCAAGTAATCATCCTCTTCTTCCCCACCGCGGCACAGTAAACCCTAGAGTAACCTGCAACTCTACTGCTCTGACCCTAAAAATGTCTTGGGCATGCAAAGAATGCACCTTTCTCAACCCCCCACCGACCCCATCTCAAAAACCCACCTGCAAAATCTGCCTCTCTCCATCATCGCCGCCACCCCAATCGCCGCCGTCTTCTTCCACTGCAAAATGGTCGTGCAAGGCCTGCACTTTCCTCAACTCCTACAAGAACTCTAACTGCGAAGTGTGCGACACTCGGGCTCCGATCTCCTCCCTCTCGAGTTTCGAGGATTTGGATGATGATTCGGGGATCGGCGGCGGCGGGGACCTTGATTCTTCGGTGGGCACTGTTTTTTTGCCTTTGCAGCGGTGCAAGAGGAAGAGGGTTGAAGACGATCCAATTGAGGTTAAACAGGGTTCTTCCAGTTCCAATGCGGTTCGAGAGGTCAAGGCTTCTCATAATTGGATGACTGTATCGGTTTCCAAGGCGTCCGGTAAAGGAATTACTGTATCGGGTTCTTCCAATTCCAATGTGACTCCAGGGCTCAAGGCTTCCGATAAGCGGGTAACTGTAAAAGGTTTGTATTCAGTCTTCAATCTTAGCTTTTGGTTTTATTTTTTCATTTGACAAGCGATAATCTAAACTATTCTAATTTGTGGGGAGGAGGATTCAAACTTGGGTGCAAAGGGGCGAAAGTTCTTGGTTTTTATTGGGTTTGATTTGGTTTAAATGATAAAGATGTGAACTTTTCATTGTAATTGATTGCTTTTGTGATATCTAAATTGGGTAGACTTATTCTATTGCCATGCTGACCATTTGCTTTTTTTTTTTTTTTTGAACAAAATGTCAATGAAACTTGAGAATTATCATTTCTAAATGTGTTGCACAACTATTTGTATATATATCTCTTGCCAAAGCCACCAACTTAGGCAAAATCCTTAGCTCAAATGCATGATTCCAGAAGCAGCACAAAAGCCATTGGCAGTACAGTACAGAGCAATTGATTTTATGTAAGAAATGGTTTTTTGCTTTAAGCACCAAGACGAAGACGGACCCTTTGGTGGGAGGGAATAAGAACACAAGGTAGCGGAAAACTTCAAAATATACTGGATTTAGGTTTAGCTAGTCTCTTAGCAGCGAACCCGTTCTATGGTATTTAAGACAAAATAGCTAAATATTGGAGATGCTCTTATTGTTCTACTTCTTATGCCTCTCTTGAGTCTTGGCTTAGAAGATTCTGTAGTTAAGTTATTTGTTTATTGTAATTTCTATATTATTCCTGGTATGTACTCTGTGATCCACTTGCAGTTTCTCACTATGAATAAGTTCAATGTTTTCAGAGGGCACTAGTTCTGGGTCTTCTGCTGCGGGTTTGAATACGTTGAAGATTATGAGTTACAATGTTTGGTTCCGAGAAGACCTAGAAATGCACAACAGGATGAAAGCTCTTGGTGACCTTATCCAACAGCATTGTCCAGATGTCATTTGCCTTCAGGTCCCCTCACCCTTTTAAATTGAATGATCATTTGATTCAGCCTTCTTTCAACTTCTATCTGATGGATGCTTTTTTCATGCAGGAGGTTACCCCGAGCATATATGACATCTTTCGAAAATCTAGCTGGTGGAAAATGTATCAATGCTCAGTTTCAAGTGAGACGGCAGATTCAAGTCCATACTTTTGCATGCAGGTGAAAGTTTGATCTCTATTTTCTATTGTGCGTTGTTTCAAATGCTAAAGAATTTTTATATGCTGTTCTATGAGTATCTTCTTGTCTTATTATTGTCCTGTGAGTTTTTCAAGTGTGTTTTGCTGATTTCATGAGTTGAATGTATCTATAAATCTTTTAGTAAACATGATACCATCTGACAGATGAATTACTGTGTAGTTAAGCAAATTGCGAGTGAAGTCCTTCAGCTGTAAACCCTTTGGGAACAGCGTGATGGGGAGAGAACTTTGTGTTGCTGAAGTTGAAGTTGAGAAGGACAAACATTTGGTTGTTGCCACTAGCCATCTCGAAAGCCCTTGCCCCGGCCCCCCAACATGGGATCAGATGTTCAGTAAAGAACGTGTGGAACAGGCAAAGGAGGCTGTCAACTTTCTAAAGAAGAACCAAAATGTGATTTTCTGCGGTGACATGAACTGGGATGACAAGTTGGATGGTAAATTTCCTTTAACTGACAGATGGGTTGATGCTTGGGAAGAGTTAAAACCTGGGGAAGATGGATGGACATATGATACCAAGTCCAACAAGATGTTGACTGGCAATCGGAAACTGCAGAAGCGACTAGATCGATTTTTGTGTAGTCTACATGATTTCAGGGTGAGTAAAATTGAAATGATTGGGATGGATGCAATACCGGGTGTATCTTATATCAAGGAAAAGAAAGTGAAGACGGAGATTAGGAAGCTGGAGCTCCCTGTTTTGCCTAGTGACCATTATGGCTTGCTTTTGACAATCTGTAGCCAATGATGTCATTCTGTTGACATAAAAGATTGCGGTTATCCTAGGTGCATCGGTCGTTCTTTTGTGACGGACTGGCAAATCCTGCCATGTATGCGTTGCATGGTATTTTGAGTATATATCTCGTATGAATATGATATGGAAGTTGGATGTTGCCTTCTCATTTTGTATGAAGTTCTGTGGATGAAGGTTCAACTGCCAAACTGAATGGCTGGTATTTTGTTTTGTATCTTTAGTTTCTTGCTATGGATAATGACCTTCTTATAAATTCTCCTATGGATTTTTCGCATCCTCTCATAGCTTAAGATGCTCGCAACGTAAATTAATGGCGAGAAAAAAGAAGGATCTCGTGTCTCTACATTTAGCATAAGGTTAAGATTTGTTTAAATGTATATACTTGAATGATAATCAAGTAACCTTGCCACATTGTTTTCCAATAGAAGGTTTTTGTTTAACTTGTCACAACCAACAAGTAATATGTATGAAGAACATATTTGAGAAGCACTAGTAAGCTGTAAAACGATTTCATAGACCATCTTAATTGCGGGCATTGTCCTTAATCCGCGGGTGATAATTCAGCTCTCTGCTGTTTCCGGAGCCTCCAGTCTTAGATAATCATAGAAAAGTCCACAAAGTGCATCACCACCCCTAGCCTGTGAAAGAAATATGGAGTTATCTCCCTTTACCAGGAGCGTTGATGGGATATCGCCGCTGAAAAGCCGATAGAGTCCATGAACTCCATGTCGACAAACTGCGTTATCCGTCCCCAAGTTCAAAACTTGAATCACCAGGTGTTCTATGTCCATAGCATTAACATGAACCTGCAGCACAGACATTTTATTTATGTCATCTGAGACATTTTATACTTTTCTCTTCTGTAACTTTTGCCATCCATACCTTCAGGTCCGAGCGGGTTGCTGAAGCGATGGCCAGTCTGAACTTGTATGTGCCGGTCGTTACAGATTTGAGATTGAACTTTATTGTCCATGTTGTTGGAAGGTATTTATTATCTGCTCCCCTCCTGCAAAATTCAAATTACTTGTATCAATGCACACACTTTTTTTTTTCATCGAGTAAAACTTGAGGAACAAACATTTAGGTCTACGAAGATTTATGCTGCTTTTGTTGAATAATCCGCGAAGTTTCTGGTTTCCTGTTGCATATGATAAGATGAGGGAAACACCTGTCCACATGAGCAAAAAACCAGTCGGTTTTCGGATTACTGCTGCCTATAGTGAAGGTCTGGTCAAATTCAGGGTGCACATCAGTGTATCTGTCCCACAAGCCATACTGTCTATACCTGTAATGTGAAACATCAAGCATGAAATAAGGGTGGTTCATTAAGTTTCATTTTCGGGAAAGGATGAATTCACTTACTTCTCGGGGCTGTTCAGAAACAGCTTGTTCACGTATATTGGGTTCACATCAGGAACATAGTAATCTATGGCCGTCCTATCAGGGTAGCCAATCTCCCATAAAGTTGGACCGTCTCTGAGGGGAACATAGGTCAGGTTTCCGAGTTGTGTTTGTGATCCTGAGTGGAAAATAGGCCATGTTTTCAATTTGATGTGTTTAGCTACCTGTATTGATAGATCTAACATTGAAATGAAATCCTATGAGAAAGAAAAAGAACTGCCTCGTTTGCAGAAAGTTAGCTGCAGAAATATACCTGCAGAGATTGTGATACGTTCGTTGTCAAGGTAATCACCTACAAAACCCGGGATCCAGCCATGGAGTCCGTATACTCCAGGGATAACATTCTTGATGGTGAAATTCCCGATGATATCTGTTTGTATCCAAAACTGATAGTCCTGCGTAGAAGTGAAATGTCGAATTAAGAAGGTTACTTTTGTCCCAAGTTTACAGTCTCTGGCAGTCTGAATCGGTTAGTAATTTACCTTGCTTTCTGTTTGCCAGGATCCTGGAGTAGTTGCAACTGATAGACCAACATACGCGTATTTAGCAGGAATGAGAGAATCCGAAACATACCTGGAGTCATGTACACAATAAAAAAAAATGCTACTATTTAGCATAGAACTGGCAATACCATGGAAGGGTTTGATTAAACAGCAGACGCAAACAGTTGGTACTGACCTATCCTGGACAAACAATCTTCCTGAAACTGAACCACGCTCTTTAGCGGCAACATAGTAGGGCGATTGAACAAAAGCATAAGGCCACAATGTCTCTTCAATCAGCCTCTAGGATGAGCCAAGTACAACATTAACCAGTTATCAAAAGGCAACATTTAAGGTTTTCAATAGCAACGTTAAGCATGGTTTGGCTAGAATTGATTCAGTACCTGTTTTTTCGCATCAATCCATAAATCGTGTGCCTTTGATACATCTGGGGTTGAGTTAAGGTATACGAAAAAGGGGCCAAACACTTTTGTCCAAGTCTCCCCTTCTTCGAAATGAGCTAATATATCTTCGCCGATATAATGAGTTCCATGAAGCATCTGGTGCACCAGATAGACAAAAAATTTAGCTGATCCTCAACTGGAAATGTCTTATTATTGAATTTGAGTGATAGACTTTTACAGCAAGGCAGAATGGACCAGTGTGGACGGTAAGATTTTGTTTCGTAGGACCGCCATTTCGGAACTCCTGGCTGGGAAAGATGAGCCAAAACCCTACAGTGGGGCCGGAACTTATCCATCCATGGACTCCACTGTCTTTGTTGTCCATCGAGTACTGATACTTATCATCAACCTGCATTCAAAGGCATACAAATAGCAGCACAATTTGGAGTTCTGACGGAATTCAACATGGCATAGAAGCATTTTTCGCTGGTACGCAATGAATTATTTTAGGTACACACCTCGCCTTTGAGATCAGGATTGATGGGATCTAAAAGCAAAACTGATTCAGGCACGATTAGTTGTTTGCCTCTTGGTGGAAGCACATCCTCAGGCATTGGCATTATCCTTTGTTTCTCATCTGTTATTGCCATGTAGTGGAACCTAATACAAGTTCAGTGAATGTAAAAACATATAGACAAGAACCACAGACCTAGTTGTAGCCAAGTTAGTTAGAGTAGTGTGCTCTCCTTGAACTCAAATTCGAATCCCCTCTTTGTAGTTTAAATTAGAATATCGCTCCAATAAAAATAACATAAGAAAGAACCGATGCACTTGGAAACTCTAAATAGGAATGGGTAGATTTTACTTCTCTCTTCGCAGTTTAAACGCCATCCTTGTCTGCGCAAGATCGAAGGCAGGACATCCAGAAGGCCGCTCATATATTGCGTAATTGTAGAAGCCTGAAACACCAGTCTTTACAATGTACCTGAAGAAAATTAGTGACTATGAGTAGAAAACAAAATAAACATCGAAAACCTTAACAGCATCATACAACGAACGAAATTAAAGATCTGCGTTAATGAAGTACAACCTTATATCCACACTTAGCGGCAATTTGACGCCGTTAGCGGATGATGGAATGAAGGTGTTCTTGAATGAAACTTCTAAGCTGTCATTGCTATGATGAACAACACTATATTCAGCTCCTTTGAGTCTGAAAAATCGACATGATTCAGTCCAGTTCAATATAAATTTAGACTGTTAATTGCCTATTTCTTGGGGTAAAAGGCAAGTGCAGATAAAATAATGCTCAAGAAAATATATCGCACGAGAGGAGAGCAAAACCATACGGTTCATATCTGTTTTGGCCTCCTGGCAAACTCCAGTTGATATCCCAATATCTGCAAGTAGAAGATTAGGCGGGATTAGCTCTGCAATGTCCGTTACAGATATTTACGAATATTATCAGATAATCATATTGTTCAAATATACATATCAGATATTTGTAAAGGTGTTACCCTCTGCTGGTTTCATTTGACTTGACATCTAAAAGATTGTCCATTCCTCCATAACTGATGCCAGTTAAATACCCTTGAGGCTTCAAGATTGTGAGCTTTACCACCCCACTGTCCATTACAACCTTATAAGAAAAATACCCAAATTCAGAAAAAACATAAATAAATATATATAGGAGAGCGCGGACCGGCTTGTGACCACTCTACATCCGATTGAGGCACATAGCCAACGCCCATCCGCTTTCCTTCCGACAATTTCAGTGTGCATGGGAACATGAACTTACATAGGGACCTTGGTTCCTCAATTTCAGTTTCATCTTTGCCATGGCAGGACACAGATTAAATTCTTCACCCTTTTCCTCTAACTTCTTATATTGTATAAGATTGTAATACAGAAACTGGTTATCAATTTCTAAATTATGGTTGAAGAACAACCAGTCGTTGGTTACTATGGTATTTAATTAATGTTTAATAACAAGAACAAGCATTTCTAGATTATATCACCAAATTGGAAAATTCCACATAGTTGAACCATCACGTAGTAATGTGAGAATAATGCCAATAATGCTAAATGATTATGTGTTCGTGTAGACGTAGATTAGGTCATGAGTCTAATAAGAACAATGTACATGACTACCAATTTCGAAAATTAAAATAGTTTAAAATATCACTGCAAACAAAATAAAGTATTAATGATGTTGCACATGCCGCAATGTGCTAAAGAAACCGTGTTTAATCATTTGGTGTTTTTAATTTGATTTGTCTGACTCATCGAAACAAGGGATTTTAATTTGGAGGCAGATTCTGTCCCTTCCACCTTCTGTGCCTCTGTTTGTGTGGTTACGGTTAAGTCACGTCAATATTTTATATCATTATTTTTTTTTGTCTTATTATCTCTATAAAAATATATGTATATAATGTTGACATGACTTAACTGTGATTATACAAAACAGGAGGGCGTGGGAAGTGGGAGGGCAGAGAATCTGCCTCCTTTTAATTTATCTCTTGTCTGCAAATGGGACTTAAAAAAGGATAATATTTAAGTAAAATATATTATGCAAGTGGCCCTTTATTATAACGGTTTGTCTTTGCATCACGCTATGAGTTCGAACTCTGTTGACTTCCTAATCTAACAAATCTATAAAAAAAAAGAAAATATATTATGGTATAACATGACAGCTCATTTCATTGTCTTTTAAGCTGCAGGTCCAGAACTCTATATAAACTACGGGTGCACGTGATAGGGAGTAACCACATAAATCCAATTCTATTATTTTACCCTAATTCAGTAAAAATATGTATTTAAAAAAAAAATTCTTTAACCCTAATTCAGTAAAAGTTTGCCCTAAAGTTTGGACAAGTTTTTTTAGTGTGACAATCCTAGAGTTATCACCATACTCATGTCATATACAAGTGGCGGATGACTGTGATAAGTAAATTCTTTTTCTTCAACTCATTGCTTCTTGGGTTTCAACTTTCAAACTATTAGAATCCTCCTCCACACTTTATTGTAGATTTAATATGCAATATCTCTTGCAATAAAAATACACTCGGGCTATAATATTTATATTTATTTTTATCTTCATGCATAAGTTTTTGGATATGATGTTCACATTGATAATTGGTATTATCAATCCTTTCACGCTATAATACAGAGATATGTTGATTAACGCCAAATCCTCGATCATTCATGACATATAATCTACATTGTTATATTATAATACGTGAATGAATAATACCACATGAGGATTTGGCACTGGACTCAACTTCAACGGTATGACAGGTAGGGCTCACTCGATTCAACGGTCCATAATTGGCGCATCAAAAACTCAACATTCACAAGCACCACTTCATCTCACCAACTGACATAATTTTTACTTGTGACGGGAATACAAGTGGTACACCACATATTTTAATAGGAGTGGTGAAAAATTATATTTTTTAAGTTATTAATTTTTTAGCACTCATATTCCACTATAGTAACACATGGTATACCAACTCGTGTACCGGTAACACTAAAAAATCTCTCCACGCATTGGACCGAAAACCACTGACAGCTCACAATAAGCCATCTTCTACTGTTCTCTTGCTCGCTTACAAAAACAGAGCTAAAAGCTCTGCTCACAGAAGCACTGCCCACAGAAGCAGCACCACATTGGTGAACATAGAAAGAGATTGTTTGAGAAAGATTCACGGTTAGATTTGGTCTTCACCATTTCTACTTTGCATGCTTTCTCTCTCTATCTCTTTCTTTCTCTAGATCTACTTTATAAACAAAGCCACATTCTTTCAATAAGTTCTGGTTTTGCAGAGAAAAATGAGAGACTGCAAGCTTCTTTCTTTTTCCATTTTCTTGGTTCTTTTTCTCGTCAATGGCGTCAATGGCGAAGACCCTTATAGATTTTTCACTTGGAAAGTCACTTATGGTGACATTTACCCGCTTGGTGTTAAGCAACAGGTACATCTTCAGCTTTTTCCAACAGTTCTTTTACTAAATGAGGCAGAAAAGCCATTATCTTCAAAAGTGTTTTATTTTTAATTAAAAAAGTGCTTCTGCAGGGGATCTTGATCAATGGGCAATTTCCAGGGCCTCAGATCGATGCTGTGACAAACGATAACTTGGTCATCAGCGTCTTCAACTACCTACGTGAACCCTTCCTCATTTCTTGGTAAATATACTCTGCTTCTGTCATCTTATCTCCCTAATTTTGTTTGTTTCCTGAGAAAATTCCTGCCCGAGAAACTGAAAGAATATCATTCTGAATCTGGGGTTCTTTTCCTTTCTCTGTTCTGGCAAATGGGTTCTTTTGAATAAAGCATGTAATTCCAAATTTCTAATTTCCTTTCTGTTTCCCTCCGCTTTCTCAGCTACCAAACAGAGTACCAAGAATACATTTTTAAGTCAAAACTTAGAAAGTTTTTGCCCAGATCTATGGCTTCGAAACTTTCTTATCAGAATATTCTTCCACTTAATTATTTCACAATGACTAATATCTCCTTGCATACATGCCAAATAAGTAGAAATCTCGCGTCTATTATGCATGTGAAGATGGGGTTATTTTAGTAAGTTCAGCAATAAATGGTAGCTTATGTACAGAAAAAAAAAAAACTGTTAAAAAATAATTAAATTAAGCATCTTTACGTTTTATCTTTTTGTCGGTTTGGTTTTGTTTAAGTTATGGCACAGACATTCATTGAGGATCTGCCATTGTTTAAGAATGCAGATTAATGTTTAAATCTCAGTTATGAAATTAAACCACCTCTTAACCTCTCAACCGTATAAAATGTGAGTTAAACCAGCTAATTAGATTGATATAATTTTTTTCGTAAATTAGAATAATTTAAAATAGAATATCGCTTTAAATTCGTTCATAATCTATCCCATGTTGCCTTCTCAAGTACATGAGAATAATCAAAATATTATATTTGAGGCAACTGGCCTCGTGTGGTGAGATCTGATCCTTCACATGCTTTAGATCTCTCTCATCCGCAGGACCACACCTACATTTATATTCTATGAACAAAGAGCTGGAATCTAAGTTTACGCAGATCTTGATAGTGTATATTTCCGGTGTTCCTTCCATACACTCGAGTTTGGTCATCATTTTCGTAAATACCCTTATGCTCGAGTTTAGTCGTTCTTTATGTAAATTAAAGTAGTACGTAACTTTGTAGTATCGCCTTGTCATGTCAAGAAAAAAATATGTGCAGACATTGGCATTCAAATAATGCATTTACTATTGAGCCCCACAAGCCACCAGCTACCCCCAATCCCAAGCCAAACTAACATTCATGTCTAACTTTGCATTCAGAGAGGTGGAGGTGGTTTCAGCCTCACATTCAATGTGTTAGAAAGAAACTGAAGCTTGGGAAGGGACTGTTAGTTGAATGTACTAGTTAGTTTCTATAAAAATTATTGTGTGGTAGTGGAATACGATTACATGGTATAACCAACTGACTGTTATGATATGAGTGGATGACAAGGTATGATGTTAACGAATATCTACGTATACTTAAATACCAGATTGATTATACCATGTAATTGTATTTGAGTATCAGACTAGAATTGTTCGAACTTTTGGACGGTAAAGTAACCCCTTTTAAACTTACAAATGTTAAATTTATCTACGATCAAGTTGCATTTTAATCGTAACCGTTGAAGTGACACAATTTAGCTTAAATCCGACTCTCATGTCCTGTGATTCTTCTGTAGGGATGGCATACAGCAGAGAAGGAACTCATGGCAGGACGGAGTTTTTGGAACAACCTGCCCGATCCCGCCGGGGAGGAACTTCACTTACAATATCCAAGTCAAGGATCAGATTGGCAGCTTTTTCTACTTTCCGTCCCTCCAGTTCCACAAAGCCGCCGGAGGGTTTGGTGGCATCAGAATCTGGAGCCGTCCTAAGATTCCCGTTCCTTTCCCTACTCCTGCTGGAGACTTCACCGTGCTGGCAGGCGACTGGTTCAAGACTAATCATTATGTAATTAACCTACTAAACTCATATTTTGGTCACATAAAACGTTGAAATTCAGACTTTGAATGTTCTGTTTTGGAAATGTTAGATACTGAGACGAGGCTTCTTGGATAGAGGTCGAGCTCTTCCCAACCCTGACGGGCTTCTCATCAATGGTCGTGGGTGGAATGGATACACATTCACCGTTGATCAAGGTATCCTCGAATGAAATTCACTTCTTCACTAACGTTAATTAGGCTAGTTGACCAAGACAGTGTTGTAACCGTCTCGTTGAGCTTATGAATAAAGGCAAATTTGCACCTCATTGTTTGAACAATTTGTTTTGCAGGCAAGACATATAGGTTTAGGATATCAAACGTGGGGCTTACGACATCCATTAACTTCAGAATTCAAGGACACAAAATGAAACTTGTTGAGGTGGAAGGATCTCATACACTGCAGAACATGTATGACTCCCTTGACATCCATCTCGGACAGTCCTTATCCGTTTTGGTCACGGCTAATCAGCCTGTGCAGGACTACTACGTCGTTGTGTCTTCACGCTTCACCCGCCAGGTACTCACCACAACAGCCGTTCTTCACTATAGCAATTCGCGTAATGGAGTTTCGGGTCCTATCCCTTGGGGTCCTACCACACAGATTGCTTGGTCTGTAAGCCAAGCGAGATCTATAAGGTACATTATGATTCTTTGCTATATTGTCTTTCCAAGCTAATCATGCATTGTCATGTATTTTAACTCTGCTACATGATAGTGAATGATTAGTTTAAAATACCAATAAATGGCATTTCCGTTTCATGGAAGAAATTCTTCGTATTTGTCAGGGATTTTTCTTGGATATGAGAGTGGTATCTTTTCTCACATTGATCATTTCCGTGCTCTTTCGATACAAACAGATGGAATTTGACTGCGAGCGGGCCAAGGCCTAATCCGCAAGGCTCCTACCACTATGGATTGATCAAACCAGCCAGGACAATCATGCTTGGAAACTCTGCTCCTTGGATCAATGGCAAGCAGAGATATGCTGTCAACAGTGTCTCATATGTTCAACCAGACACTCCTTTGAAACTTGCTGACTACTTCAACATTCAGGGAGTTTTCAGCGTTGGAAGCATTGCGACCAACCCCACAGGCGGAAGCGGCTACCTCCAGACCTCCGTGATGCACGTTGATTTCCGGGAATACGTTGAGATTGTGTTCCAAAATTGGGAAGACACTGTGCAGTCATGGCACATTGATGGCTATTCATTCTTTGTAATGGGGTAAGATCATGCACATAGTTTGGATTTTTCTGTAATTTCCTCATTTCCAAGAACAGGCCTAAATTAAATCTTGGATTTTTTATGTTTAACTAATTTTGAGAATGGTGGGAGAATCTGCAGGATGGAAGGAGGACAATGGACACCTGCAAGTAGAGCTCGTTACAATTTGAGAGACACAGTTGCACGTTCCACAACTCAGGTATGAGAAGTATTGGAGATTGAATCATACGTGAACATTATCACTTGGTGTTACAAATTCACGTGTTATATATAATTTGGGTGCACCAGAAGATTTTTATACTTTAAGATATAGTATGAATTAACATGCATTTTTTATAACATAAATTTATTGATTATCTCACAAGTTACTACATACCAATGAAAAGTTACACCGAATATTGTAATTGAAGTTAATACTAATGTTTGCTTATACCAAGATTGGGGATGAGGAGAACGGCAATCATTTCAATTCCTGACTTCTCCGATGCTTACTAATATGCTTAAGGAATAAAAATTATGCAATTCCCACCTTAAAATCACTAATCAAACACTCTCAAAACCAGGGATGAGATCATCTGTGGGAAATAGTTGATTTAATTCTCATTCCTTATTTTCCTCTATTTCGAATTTCCCGATTTTTGCTTCCATTTTCTGATTTCCTATATTCCTTATAAGTAAAAACGCCATAATTATTTCATACATGTAATCCACCCCAACATTGTTGGGTTTGTCTGAGATATTGGTATTTCGGATGCAGGTGTATCCTAGGGCATGGACTGCAATCTACATAGCATTGGACAATGTGGGAATGTGGAACGTCAGGTCACAAAATTGGGCGAGGCAGTACCTGGGGCAGCAGTTCTATCTGAGAGTGTATTCTCCTGCACATTCATGGAGAGATGAATACCCAATTCCAAGAAATGCCCTTCTTTGTGGAAGGGCGAGAGGCCGTCACACTAGGCCTCTTTGAAATTCTGAAATATCCAAAACTGGTCGCCTTTTGGTCACGAGAGGGTGACATAGTTTTAAGCTAATTTAGGCGAGGACTAAGCGTATTCTTGTGAGTTGTAACAGGTCACTTCACTGGGAGCTCCTCTTGAGCTTCCAGAAATTTTCTTCTTTTTGTTCCATAATTAGCATTACTAGATGGGTTATTTATTTCAATAACTCAGAGTAATAAAGCTATATACAATATGCGTCCTAAATTGAGATTTAACATAAAGGCTCATAGCAATGAGGGTTGGTTGAGTTGGTAGGAATCATTTTTTTTCGCTAGACCAAGATCTAGGGTCAAGTCTTGTTGCTGGCAATTCCTCTTGATGGACAATCTGTAAAAACCCTAAAATGGTTACTTTTTGTTTTTGTTTTTTCCCTAAGCAAAAGATGAGGGGAGAGAAATGATAGTGTTGAGGGGTACACAAACTAAAAAAATTATTTTCAAATAGCTAAAAATCAGAATTTAATTATATATTCTTTTAAAGAGAATTTAGCAAGGCCCTACAAACTTAGGTTTTTATTTCAGTTTTATCTTTTCAACTTTTATTTGACCTTGAATCCTCCTAGTGTTAGAGTGTGTCAATTTGCCTTTACATATTCTAATTTTTCCATCGTATAGAGTTCTACTTTCATCCTAATTTTAAAGCTAGACAACACAATAAAATTGATACATTATAAAAAGTTATGCGAACTAATAACAAGATTCAAATTCGACAGAGCAAATGGAATGGATATCATGAATTCAAGGGGCATAATTATTACTAAAATTCTCCCCATGAAAAAGAAAAGAAAGATAACCAAATACCAGCATGGACGGTAAACCCTAAACCCTAAATGCAGCAATGCAGTAGCATCGACACAAAAGGGTTCTGTATTTATACATTTACAAAAGAAAATTTCTTTATTTATTATTTTTAAAGAATAAAAAAAAAGAAAAAGAAGAAGAAAAAATGGCTTTAATTGCTTAGAATGTCACACAACACTTAACGTCCATGCTTCTGCGGCTCTGCCAATGCATGACACTGCCACAGAAACACTATGATGAGAGAGAGAGAGAGAGAGAGAGAGAGAGAGAGTATTCTTCCAAATTTGAAACCGCCTTCTCTTTCTTTTGGATGCTGTTACTGAACGAGTACGGCCATGGAGGCCACGTTCCAGCCAAGTCATGAATTTTGTTTCAGCCATTTTGTCTGTGTTCCAAACAAATAAATTCAAATAAATAAATTAAAGAAATCTTTTAATTAATTCCATCCAAATTTCACAACCCTAACCCTAACTGCACTCTGCATGCAACGCAGATGTGCATACATAACCCCCATTAAATGACGTTTTCATCCCCAACGTGTCCCCCTGCTAGCAATGCCCGACATGCGAAGCATGTCTACGTTTCAACTTTTAATATTATTTCTCCCTCTCTCTCTCTCTCTCTCTCTTCCTCCTCTCAAGCTTATTCTTTATTTTGTGTTCATCTATTTCTATGGCGTGCTTTGGCATTTGTGTGTGTGTGAATGAGGTTTAGGTTCCTTCCTTTTGCTTGCGTTTTAGAATTGAGAGACTTTGAGTCATCCATTAATTAATTAGTTGAACAAATATCAGTGTGACTTTGTGAAGGAGTGAAAGTCTTTGTCGGCTGGAATTAGGGAGAGGGGGCTTGACTCAGAGTATACTTGGTAGGAATTTTGACCACGTTATTAGTATGACATATTTTATTACCGTGAGAGTTATTTATTAATTTTTATTTAGCTTCACGTTAATCTTATTCGTTATATGAGTTATTCTAATCAGTCAGTCTCAGTAAAATGTTTTCTCGCATTATCCAATTTCACATTAATCTTGCCCGATATAAAAGTTACCCCAAATTAAACGACCTTATCAAAATTTTCTATCACTTGACTGGTGAGGATTGAGGACGGAGTAGAGGTTTGAAAACTTATTGGGTGGTTTGGTTGGTATATGTTTCCCTTTGAAGATGCAATTGCTTATGTCACCCATTAGACTCATACATGTAAGTTATAACGGATGTCTGCCATTCCTTTGTTTTCTTGTCAACCCCGATTTATTTTTCTTGTTATAACATACGTTTGCTTTGTTGATTCCCATACCATATTGTATTCTATTCACAAATTTATATTATATATTGACTTGACTCTACTTTTTAATCATTTCTGTTTTAGGATAATACAGTATGATACAACAAGTGTTTTGGAAGTTTTTTTTTTTTTTTGAAGTATTTAACCACTTGTATTATTACACTTTGTATATCGAGCCGTGTTCCTGGCACACTGAAAAATTCCTTCTGTTTTAAATATATATTGCTGGGCAGCTCCAGAAACCTATAAATAATGGTTTTCCTTGTATTTTTACCAAGTTATAATGTGTAAAAAGACCCAGAGAATGTGTTATCTAGGTAGTTACTCAATCAAGAAATATTATATCACCAAGAACTTTAAGATTGAATTATATTATATATGGGTTTTTCACATTTCACCTTTCATTTTCACCCAATCATGAAGGCTTTGAAACATAAAACCACAACCTGCGCAGGACTGCAAAGTCTGAAATTCTCTGTGGGCGTATTTTTTTTTTTCCTTTTTTCCAATTGAGACTCCAAGGACTAAAAATTTTGTGTCCCTTTGAGCCAGAGAAAGCTGCCACTAGAAGACACATTTCAGTAACAGAGTCCAACTGGTCATGTTTGTATTCATATATATTCCCTGAGACCCCATCTCATATATAGCTAGCTCTCTCTTTCTACAACATGAAAGATCAGGCAATGGAGAGGATTGAAGGAGATGATCACCATCACCAGAGCTCCTCATTTCTTAAGAGGTCTCCCTGTTCTTCTGTTGACAATGGTGATCAGAAACCCCACACGTCATCATTTGACGACGGTGATGGTGTTACTCCTAATAGAAGCACAGCTCAAGGGAAGCATCTAGTAGTCCACGGCTACCACCATCATTTTCCGGCCGCCGCCGGTCATCGTCAGATGATCGGCAGCCTGTTGAAATCATCCCCGTCGTCATCGACTCCGGTGAGACCTTATGTTCGGTCCAGAATGCCTCGGCTTCGTTGGACGCCTGATCTTCACCGCTGTTTTGTGCATGCAGTTGAAAGGCTTGGCGGAGAACAAAGTAATTTTAGCTTCTTTCCCTACACACACGGATATATATATATATATACACACACACATAGCCTATATATAGAGTAAAGTTTTATTAAAATGTTATTTTGGTGTTTAATTAATTACAGGAGCCACTCCAAAGATGGTTTTACAGATCATGAATGTGAAAGGCCTTAACATATCACACGTTAAAAGCCATCTTCAGGTAATTGGCGATCTAGCTAGATAGCTACATCTTGTTAAGCGTAAAAATAATCTCTCTTGTTAATTTGGTATTTTCTACTTATTTATTTTGGAGAGGGAATAGCTTAATTACTTTGAAATTTCTTTTTTCATTCTTTCTAACGTTGAGGTTTTTGACTATGGACAGATGTACAGGAGTATGAAGCATGAGCAAGGCATACAAGGTACACATGTACATACATGCATGCCCTCCCTCCTTTTCACTCTTGACTAATTTTCATAATTATTTTGGTCATTTAATTTTATTGCACAATATATATACATATATATATATCTATACATATATATTATGTATTATATATTCCCTTCATCATGTATTATATACAGCAACATAAAGTATTTTTGTATGAGATGTGAATATATAAATATATATAGCCGATTTACTCACAATTTCTCTTGATTTGTAATTCCTAGGAATAATATGTGTAAGATTTTTCTATGATAATTTGGTACCTTCAAGAATATTCAAAATTCAAGAAAACCTAATTGATTTAATTACAGCATAAGTTTCTTGTCTTTTTCTCCTTCTCTATTTTTCATTTAAAAAAAATGTGTAATCATAAAAAATACTATAATTCTCAAGCTCTAGCCAATAATTGAATTGACATTTTGTTGCAGCAGCTGCTTTGGCAGCAAAGAAGAATGGTATGTTGCAGGTCTCTGAGTACTCAAACAACTCAAACTTCTTAAAGCCAATCGATATTGCTCAACCTGTTTACCACCAAAAGAAAGACTTGATGAAGAAAATGTACAACCATCGACCCTGCCAAAGCAATGAAACTTGTTACATTGAAGGCCTTGACAGGAACACCAGTCCTCTGGCGAAATGGTAATTGTAAATTAATTAATTATGTTTTATCTCCCTAATTAACATTATTAGTTATGCGAGATTTATATTCATGATTTTTACAGGAAGGATGAAACGAAGCCATTAGTACTACCCTATCAAGCACCAAGTTCTTTCATCGTAGACAATGATCTGCTCAAAAGATGCACTGATAATATTGGACAAGTACTCTCTCTCTCCCCCTCCTATGACATTCTGGCTCTGAACAGTCCTTTAATATTCCATTCCATATATATGTCTGAATTTTCAGGAGAGCAATCATAAAGAATTGGAAGATTTAGGCAGTACCAAAAGCGAATATGATGCAAGAATGTCTCTATCAGTCAACGCGTCATCATCGAAAGCCTCTCGTGAGCTGTTGAGGTTCAGCAAAGCAGCTGGGAATTCAGATGCGAATGATGTCTCTCTTGAGCTCACTCTTGGTACTTAAAATCATCATGCACATTTTTATGCAGACAATGTAGAAACTTGAAAAAAAAGTGACTCTAGAGTTAATTAGTACCTCTTTTTCAGTATTCTCCTCCAATATATGCTTCATGTGCAATTAGATTAATGACCGGATACCTTAAATTGACACTAGCACTAACATTTAACTGTACGAAATGGAGTGAGTGAAAGGCATGAGTGGCTAATAACCTAATTAGTCACTTATATGCTTTTATGCACCTTATTTTGTACAACTAATATCAGTAGTTATTGTGTCAATTTTTTTTGTAGTGTAGTGATCCACAAATAGTTCTGTGCAAACAACATGACTTGAAAATTTTCATTACAAATTAACATCACAAAACATGCAATGTCAATGGTGTGATTTTACATTTGACTTTCAAACCACGCGTGATACAAATTCAATAACCTCTCTCAACTACATTAGGGATAATAGACGTTAGAAATGGAAAGAAAACATCCAATTCTCATGCAAACACACAAACAATACGTGGGGTTGTTGTGTTGTTGATAAACCAAAAATATAGGTTACTCACGTACATGAAGTGGATCTCCCTAATTTCAACCTTCATCTTCTCTAGTCTTGTTCTTCAACCTATAAATTCAGTCGCCCAACCTGAAGTGGAATGTCCCAAATCGAATACACACAAATCTTTAGCTTACTTATTACTCCTCACCTAAGAACTAATAGCTTGAGATCATGGCTGCTACTAAGGTTTTGATCATGTTGGTGCTTTTGGGTGCTCTAGCTACACTTAGTAGCACCACGGAGGCTGGGAGGGACGTTGCAATGAACAACAAGGGTGGCGTCGGCGGTGCATTTAAATTAGATGATGAAAAGACGTATGCATTTTTCCATCACAAGTTTCCTGGTTATGGATATCCATATGGTAAAGGATTTGGTTTTGGTGGTGGGTTCGGAAGTGGAGTAGGAGTAGGCTATGGTGACGGCGTTGGTGTAGGTACCGGAGCTGCATCGGGGGCTGAATCCGGAGCTGGAGCTGGGGCTGGAGCTGGAGCTGGAACGGGGGTGGTTGAAGGGCAAGGAGCTGATGGTGGATCGCCTTGAGTATACTATGTATACATGGTTGGTGTACTAGATATGGAATAATTAATTAAGTTACCCAATTTGAATTTTCCCTGTTTTGTTCTTAATTTTTGTTTTGTTATGGCAATATTAAATGAGATTGATCTTGGAGTTGCACAAAACATACACTTGTTTACACTCTTTAATATAAGTCCTTGCTATTGTATGTGAGACTTTGTATTAGAGAATCACAATGTTTAATGAGGTTGCAATTTTTTTTCACATCACACCATGAGCTTTCAAAATTATATTAACTCATATCTACATGTTGTACAATTGTCTAATTCGTCGTAAAATTGATGACTGACTAGCATTGCATGTAATTTCTTTATGAGTTGACATAGAAGCTACACTTATAGCATAAAACTAAATGACTTGTGGAGTTTTGGCCTCTCATCTCCACCCCAAAACGACAACTATTCATCAATTTCTATCTCCATTGAAACCTACGCCTCTTAGAAACAAGTAACCCAATTACCACATCATCAATTAAATGCTGATTCATATGGTTAAATAAAGAAAACATAAATTGATACGATTTGAAAACACGGTGCATTTGAAGAAAAGTAAAATCTCTCATTTAGAAAATCATCTAAAACGTAAGGAGTCACAAGTTGACCACTTCTATTACCTTTTACATTCTTATTGTAATTAAGTTTCCTAAAACAAAGCATTAGTCCAAAATCAACATTGCGTGTCATGGACAAGGTTCTAAAAAACGCTAGGCGCTAGTCAGGCGCCTAGGCCGCCTAGGCGGATTTAGGTAAATTTCTTGTATATCTTGTAAATAAGTGCATATTGACACCTAAAAAAAAACTATATTTGTATGGATAATAAAATAATGATAAAATACAAATTAGGTACACTAGGGCCGCCTAGGACAGCCTAGCCCTAGGACCGCCTAGGACAGCTAAAATACAAATTAGGCGGTCCTAGGCTGTCCTAGGCGGCCCTAGGCAGTCCTAGGCGGCCCTAAATTAAGTTTCCATAAGTATTGAATGAACTTGTAGTAAATCCATCATTTGCAAATTAGATACACAATTTCCATAAGTATATCATCATGAAACCAAAAAAGAAAAAAGCACGCAATTAATAAAAAATTAAAAAAAAAAAACCTCCTAGGACCGCCTAGGACTGCCTAGGGCCGCCTAGGATAGCCTAGCCACCTAGCCCGCCTAGCTGCCCAGCCCGCCTAGCCCGCCTAGGCCCAACCCGATTTTTCCTCGCGATTTGCCCAAAAACGCCTCGGTTGCTAGGCGCTCAGTGCCTAGGCAGCCGCCTAGGGCGTTTTTTAGAACACTGGTCATGGATCCTAAGTTTACATGAACACAACAGGAATACAAAACGGGCAAAACCGAATCCGACCCACAGAGTGAGTGAAGAAAGCGATATGATCATAGAATACAAGGGGATTGGGGTTTATTTTGTCAAGTTGTGCTATCACCACTCACTAACGATGGCGTGCTGTCTCGATTTCGATTAGGAAGGGAAAACCCTCCTCCACCCACTACATACATACCCTCCCACCAACCCTTTTCATTTTTTCTTTTTTCCTTTATATTTTAATTTCTCTGTCTGTGACTATCTCGTACTTGCACTCAGAAATATAAAAAGGCCACCATTTTCTGAGTTTGGTATGCTCTTTTGGGCTCTCAGTCTCAGATTTGCTTGTTTCTGAAGAACTACAGATAACACAGAAGATAACCCATCTGAGCATGTGAGTTTCTTGTTCTCTCTCTCTCTTCATGTTCTGTAATTGCATCTCATTGGGTATGTTTTTCTGGGAATGTTTTATTGGATGCCTCTCTCTCTCTCTCTCTCTCTCTCTCTCTCTCTCTCTCTCTCTCTGCAGATTAGATAATGTGAGATTAGGAGATCTGTGTGAGATTCAATTGTCTTATTGTTCTTGTAATAGAATCTGATTGATTTCTAGCATTTTTTTCAGTGGTTTAAAACTTGTTATGTTGCCTTGGTGGATTCTCAAATGCAAAGTTTAAAAATTGTATTGTAAAGAGACCTGCTTGATCAATTCCTCTGTGTTTTTATACCATTTGGATGACTTTCGACTTCGAGGTTTAAAAATTTGGTACGTAAGGGTAATGTCTCGATGCAACCACACTAACAAAACTTGTATGAAATGCAATGCAATGCAACATTTTCGATCGATTTATCTCCGGTTACTTTCTTCGTCACAGCAACTAATGACAACAAAGGCTAACCGAGTGGTGATTATTGTTGTTTTTGAGTTATGGGGGTTGGCTTGAACTTTTGGTGCCCGTTTAGAATATGTTCGGTTTGCAGGACAAGTTATGGAGGCATATCATTTCTAGTAAAGCAGACCTATCTCGAGTTTGTAACACGAAGCTAAAGTCACTGAGATTGATTATGTGTCTCAGATATTTCTGCTAAGATGAGAGGAGCAAGTTTGTGGCAGCTTGGCCAGTCAATCACCCGGCGTATTGCTCAGGGTGATAAGAAGGCTGTAGCTCGTCGATACTTTGCCTCAGAAGCTGAGCTAAAAAAGACAGTCCTCTATGACTTCCATGTTGCAAATGGCGGTAAGATGGTGCCTTTCGCTGGATGGGGAATGCCTATTCAGTACAAGGACTCAATCATCGATTCCACCATAAACTGCAGGCAGAATGGTAGTCTGTTTGATGTCTCCCATATGTGTGGGCTGAGCCTTAAGGGGAAGGATTCCATATCTTTCCTTGAAAAGCTTGTCATTGCTGATGTTGCTTCGCTTGCCCCTGGAACGGGGACACTCACTGTCTTTACAAATGAGAAGGGAGGGGCAATTGATGACTCCGTGATTACCAAGGTTACTGACGACCACATATACCTGGTGGTGAATGCTGGATGTAGGGATAAAGATCTTGCTCACATTGAAGAGCATATGAAGGCATTCAAGGCTAAAGGGGGAGATGTCTCGTGGCACATCCATGATGAGAGATCTCTTCTAGCTCTCCAGGTCAATCCTTTGATTCAAATATTCACTCATCTTTGTTGATTCATATTGTTATTGTACTGAATCTGCCATATACTCGTGTTTTCAAGATATTCACTTGCCCATTTGATAGAACTGGCGTGTGTGATTGCGGTGTTGCATACTGCAAATTTGTCTGATTCAACTGCATTTGAATTTGTAATTGTCTGATTCATTTACTGCTCCTTTTCTCCTACATAAAAAAAAATTCAGTTTCAAAGAAATTCAAGCTGCAATTAGAAGATAGGTTGTTTAGTTCAATTGAAACTTATTTGTGTTGATTTGACCAATAATTCGATCAGTTAAAACTGCTGCAGTTACGATAATGAAGTAGGCTCACAATTGGACACAGTTTGATTTTGATTCAATAGCTGATCAAAATATTACTTGAGAGTAACACTAGGAGTTTTTTTTCTCTTTTTTCGAGCAGGGTCCTCTTGCTGCCCCAACCCTTCAACACTTGACAAAAGAGGATTTGAGCAAGTTATATTTTGGAGAGTTCCGAATTTTGGATATCAATGGTGCACACTGCTTTCTTACAAGGACTGGGTATGTTTCCTCCCATCTCTTTTGTGGTTTTTTCCAAAGCAAGCAATTTACTTTGCACAGTGTGGGGATTATTGCAACGTTGCCGTCTGCGAATTCAGCTGATGACCCTTGGTTTATATCATTTTATGGTTTTTTGTGGGTGCTCAGACTCTAGTTAGTCATTTCTCTTTGCCTCGTATGCATTCATGTAATTGTTAAGAAAATGATTGAAGATGATGAGTGAAGCAATTTTATTCTGTTATGTGCTCTTCTTTGGTGATACAAGAATTTGCCATTTCAACTGCCTTATTGGAGTGAGCGTGATTGACATTGGATTGCACTTTTCACTGAGAATTTTAGGTACACCGGTGAAGATGGATTTGAAATCTCGGTTCCTGATGAGAATGCAGTGGATCTTGCCAAGGCAATCTTGGAGAAATCCGAGGGGAAGGTGAGGCTGACAGGTCTGGGTGCTCGTGACAGTCTCCGACTGGAAGCTGGGTTGTGTTTATATGGCAATGACATGGAGCAACACACAACACCTGTGGAGGCTGGACTCACATGGGCCATAGGGAAGAGAAGAAGGGCAGAGGGCGGCTTTCTTGGCGCTGAGGTAATACTCAAGCAACTCGAGGAAGGTCCTAAAATCCGGCGTGCTGGTTTCATCTCATCAGGTCCACCTGCTAGAAGCCACAGCGAGATTCAGAACGAGAAAGGTGAAACCATTGGGGAAGTCACAAGTGGAGGATTTAGCCCCTGCCTGAAGAAAAACATAGCGATGGGTTACGTGAAGTCTGGATCACACAAGGCCGGAACCAAAGTTAAGATCATTGTCCGAGGAAAGGCTTATGATGGAGCTGTCACGAAAATGCCTTTCGTACCTACAAAATACTACAAGCCAACATAATTCAAGCGTGGTACATCATCAACGGGTTTCTATTCGGTTTCCCTTTTGATTTCTTGATAAAACTTGACTGTTTCTGTCAATGCCAATTTCCATTTTCCACTTGCTTATGAATCTGGAGTGAAATGGAATACATTTTTATCTTCAAGGTAACATATTTACATGGTAGATTCTTCAAATCGAGATCCTCTCTGGATCTCGCAGTCCAGAGGCTCCTATTAGGCCATCTTACTAACTCACCTCACACAAACCAAGAATTCGAATCTCACTCTCTTTCTTGGATGGTTCGAATTATTTGGTCCGTTGGCTCCGGACTGCGAGGTCCGGAGAAGATGTGAATTCAGGTTCTTCTTGCCGACTTGGATGAACTTTTACTGTAGTTATTGAATGTTGCACATAAAAAATTAACGTAAAGATACTATTTTTTTACTTTGACCAAAAGATAACATAATGAACTGTGAGATTATATTGACCAGAATGTCGCTTATCAAAGTCAACCAATCAAAGGTAAGGCAGTGCCCCAAAGTCAACATTTCAGGTCAATCTAAGCCGTCTAATCTAGGCAGTTTTCTGGTAAGCATGATCAGAACTCAGAACGTCCTCCCCCAACTAGGGCATGAAAATTATGTTTAAAAAGTCAATAACACTAATTAAGCGCAAAGCTGGGTTGTTTGACGCCAAATAAAGCCTAATTAGACGAATTAAGAAACAAATTGTAGTGTGAAAATTTGAGTGTTTACATTAGATTTTGTATGTTACACCATTGTACAAAGAATCAAATGAATTGCTAAATTCTAAAGTAACTAAAAGAATCAAAGAATTTTTCCTTTCTTTCTGTTTGTACAAAATCTGATGAACTACTTAGAAAAGCTTGCAACCGAATTCGTCTATTGGTTCTCCGTTCGAACGATACAAAGCTGATTTCGATGCAAGTTCTCTGAGTTGCTCCAAGCTTCTTCCCAACTGCATTGCAACCTTCATTTCGAAAATCCCCCCATTTTCTCTCTTCTCCAAGTCTTGTTCTCCAAGTGTTGCTTCAATTGAATCTTCCAACTTGTTAAAGAAGCCGGCGCAGTTTCTATACATCTCAAATACCATCCCTACTTGCGCGCCATGCTGAAAAGCATTCACTATGCTAGCCAACGAGCCTGCAGCCACTGCTGCAACCGCGGCAGTGGCTGATCCATGGCCTACAAAAGCGGATCCAACAGCCGCAATCCCAGTAAGCACAGGGCCCGAAACTGCCAAAATCTTGTTGATCTTTAGAACCAAGCTCCCTAATCTCTCATAGTCTTCAATGTCCTTGCTCTTCACAACTTGAATAATTTCTCTCATTTCACTTTCAAGTTCTTCACTCCATCCATTCACATTCTTTCCCTTCTGGGATTTCAGTTTCCTTGGATTTTGGGATTGAACAACATTTCTAGGCCACCAAACAGCCGGCTCAAATTTTTTGGGGAATTTTTCGAGCATGGCACCAAGTAACGGAAGAGGGTAAGCTTTGTCAAGAGCCAAAACCTTCTCCATTGTCTCCTTCACATCTTTCTCAGTAGGATCACGAAGAGCAAACACCGTCTCAATTTCACTCTGGAGCTGCCTGAACAACCTCGTAGCGTTGCGCTGCTCCTCGGCGAGCTGCGAAGGCTGGATCTTGTTCATGATAAGCAGCATTCCGGTGGCTGCGGAAAACAAAATAGCCGATGAAATGTTCAATGCCAAAACGGACGTTCCAGCAGCTGCATTAACTCCGGCCATGAGGGAAGCGGAGAGAGTGATCATGTTGATAGAGCTAAGTAAGAGTGCGTTCCAGTTATTGCGCTGCTCGCCAATGTTTGCGTGCATCTCCACTCTGTCCGCCACCGCCTCTAAGAGCGCGTAGAGCTGAGCTGTGGAAACTGTAGGAGTTGCTGTTGCTGCAGACTGATTGTTATTATACAAATCGATGTTTTCGTGTTTCAGAACTTGTTCCTTCAACTGGAGGCCTTCGAGGACGAGCTTCGTCGTTTGTTTGGGGACAGTGAAGCGGACTCTTGGGAGCTTGGGGACATGAATGGCGGCATTTATGGTTCTGTTTGAGGAAGAACAACATGAGGGAGAAGAGAAGAGGAGAGATGAAGTTTGGAGGGAAGCCATTTGATTGGTTGGGGTGCTGTGTTTTGTTAAAGTGTTGAGACCAGATGATCTGAGGTGGGTTTTCAGTTCGGAGGAGGAGGAGGAGAGGAGAGAGTTGGGAATGGAGGAAGAGGGTGAGATGTGGTGGGTATATATATGGAGAGAGCCGAAAAGCGAAGAAGGGGTCAGATTTGGAAATTATTGACTGGACTTGGCTTATTGGCTGACCTGTTAGCTGCAGCGTGACCCATTCCCTTATTTTTTAATTTTCCTCGTCAAAATTTGGTCCACTATTTTGCATTGCCTTCACTCGTTATCTCTCTCTCATTTCATGCAAACATGTAAGTACGTATTAGCATAGGTAAGAATTTCAAACACGATACGTTACACGACTTAAAATTTATACTAATATCACATGATTAACATTGTTGTGTCAATTGTTAAATTATTGTACAAGACACTTGTATGTCGTCAATATATAATGTATTATTGATATCATGTCTATATTGCAGGACAAAAAATAACAATCAATGAACAAAGTTCAATAAATTGGTGCCATGTGAGATATGAAATGAAAGTTCACGAAAGAAAGTAATACAATTACAACAGCAGAGAGTAGCATGACATTGTGTTATTATGTTTTTTATTTTATTTTATTTTATGGTATTTTACATATCAATAAACATGTGGATTAACACATAATATAAAGGAGTAAACCAAAACATCGACAATACCTGTGTTCACCACTAATTAATTTATATTTGAATAGACCGATAGCATACGTAATTAACAATTTGGTTTTATTAATCTAAAGTCCAACGTACAAGTTTCTGACCTCTAATTTGAAGTGGTCCGTCTTCACCTGCATGCTATTTTTTGGGTGGACCGAGTGTCCCCTCCCAACTACTAGTTTTCAAACCTCAACTATATATTTTACGGATATTCTAGTTTTATAATTGGCGTATTTTTCTTTCTGTTTTTCTTTATTTAATTTGTCACTTAAACAATCCATAGTGGAGTGGTGGCCTCTATTATATTGTAACTAGATCCTCTCCGGACCCTCGGATCAATAATCTTAAACCGTTCAGGTAAAACTGTGCGGCTCAAAGTGAATACCTCACCCACGCCATCGTGATCGAATACCAAGATAGGCACGTACTATATGAAGGTGGACATGTACATATAAGACACACTATCCCTTCTCGGTTGGTCGATGTGAGATGTTACATCATCCTTGTGCTCTTTCCCTTGTCTCAGAAAACCTCCATGAAAATCTTTCAAGTTTTCTGATTTACTGTCCCAATATATTGGGAACTAGATTTTACTCAAAAGAAAAAAGAGAGATGCGTAGAGGCCTGAAGCTTCATAGAAATCCAGATCTGATGACGGTAATGTGTGGAGAAGGAGATAGCGACGGAGGGAGAGAGTAGTTGTTGTGGGAGTTTGGCATGTTTCTTTTGCTCTGGATGCTCCAGAGAAAACTGGATTTACGTCCCTATTATATTAGCTCATTAATACTTCATGCACATATTTCTTGGATAATTATTGTGCTTTTTTAGACCCGTTTTGCTATCATTTTCAAGACAGTTAATGACCGTCATCTTGTAAGTAATAGTACATTAATATTTGACAAAAAAATGTCAAATTCAACGAAACAAAATATCGTCAATATTATGCGATGAAGAAGTTTAATAGCTCAAATGTAAAATGTTTGTTTATTTTATTTTTGGTTCACATTCCGTCCACCGTTGCAATTGATTCACTCTCACTCATGCAATATTTGAATAATTATCTACCCTTTGTTTTGGTCAATTTCAGAATTTTACATGCAATTTGAAGAGATCTCTCTTCGTTACTTGATTTTTCTCGGTCAATATTAATAAACTTGCAATTTGAAGAGGTCTCCCAGTCACTAGTTTTCAAACCTCAACGGATTGGATTCTAATTTTTTAAACGCAATCTTTCTTCTTCTGTTTTTCCTTAATTATTATTATTTTTTGGTCAAAACTTGCGCTAATCTCATTTCCTTCACTTGAATTGAATCGGTAGTGGAGCTGTGGCTTAACTTACCATTTCATGCTTTGAGTTTATTAACTCATGAATGTTTTTATCTACAAATTACGGTCTCCTATATATACAAAAGTAATTTACTAAAATTTATATATTATATTTAGAGAACTCTTTTTTTATCAATTAAAAGAGAATGAAAACATAATTTAATCTCGTTTCGGGCTCAATTTCTGTGACACTGGTGAATCGCACGATGGTGAACAGAAGAGGCTGAAATGTCTTTGTGAGTTTTTTCGGTCTCTGAAAGGGAAACTGCTGTGATGAAGCCACCAACTAAATTTTTTTTTTAAAAAAAAAAAAACATAATTTAATCCCATGTACATAATGAATAAAAATATCAAAAAAGAAACATTAAGATAATTTTACACAAACACAACTGGTCTCACACAAATTTTCCGCATGATAGAAGTTTAAAAAAAATTGAAATACGAAGTAAACAAAAAAAAATATTATAATATTTCACCTTGAAATTGAGTAACATATATATATAAATAAAGAATTATATTTATTATAATTTAACAAAAGATAATAAAAAAATATTGATATGAATAATCAACGGACCTAACCCAACAGAAAATTGACTAAACCCAATCATTCCTCTCAAAATTGGAAATTTGTAACGAAGAAATTCTGATGGGGTCGATTGCAAAGAAGGGGTTGCAGCAGTACTTGCTTCAACTTCAGCATCATCCGCTCAGAACCAAGGTCAAATTCTATGCCTTTTATCAAATTATCAGTCTCACTTTTTTTCTGGGATATCTTGATTTCCTCTGTTTTCTATCTTAAACCCCTGTTTGGCTCCCGAGAAAGTTGAGGAAGCCCCCAAAGACTGAATTTTTTTTGTACGTTTAGATTGCTTTCTCATCTGGGTTTTATCAAAGATGCTGTATTTTCAGCTCATATCCCTTAATTGTGATTAGTAGTTAATTGGTTTTTCGAGCTGAATAATATGAGTGTAACAAGTTGTTAATTGGGAATTTTTGGTGATCTTCATATTGTTTGTTATCTGAACAGGCAATTACTGCGGGGGTTTTGTCAGCGATCAGTGACATAGTGTCGCAGAAGCTCACCGGCATTCAGAAACTTCAGATAAGACGGCTCCTTCTCAAAGTGGTAAGGTCCATTAGGATTCCATATCGCCGATTTTATGAAAGTTTGTATCTTTGATCTGGGTATTTGTGCATACTGTATATGAAAGAAAAAGGGATTTTCAAAAGTAGCAAAGTTGGTTTAAACTCGTTGTTCGATCATTTGAACCTAATTTTATGCTTTTGTCGAAAAATATGTCTTCTAGCATTTGCTATGATATTGAAGTGTTTTGTAGATTCACTTTCTCACAGACGTTCGATCATACATTCTATTTGAGATACCTTGTCAAACTAATTTCATAAGCACTACAATATTGTTTGGTACCGAAATTTAGATGAAAGTTTGGAATTTTTGTTCCCCTCTCATTTAATGTTTGAGTAGGGCATGATGGTTAAAGCCTCTTAACATGAGAAAATGCAAAATATGCAGCATTACTGTCGGAGATGATGGTTAAAATCTATTTTGCAGCCGTAATTACAATTATTTCCAGGTGATAATATAGTTTGTTGTTGTCTGTAAGAAGTTTGGTTCGATGAAATTGTAAATCTGCTAAGATGTTTTAATGTGTATAACTACTGTGGCATATATTTTACATGTATAACATTTCTAAATGCAGCTTCTAGGAGCTGTTTATCTTGGACCATTTGGGCATTTCCTGCATACCATACTAGATAAGATTTTCAAGGGGAAGAAGGATTCAAAAACAGTAGCAAAGAAGGTAGGCTATACTTTCCTTCATGCTCCCATTTTCCATTCCCCCGCCTCCACGAAAAAAGTGGAAGAACGTTTTGGTCATTCTAATATTCCTGATGAAATTATTATTTCAGGTGCTGGTGGAACAGCTGACGGCTTCTCCCTGGAATAACTTGGTTTTCATGCTTTACTATGGGTTGGTTGTGGAGGGTAAGTATATGTGAAAACCTTCGATCTCAACATTTTGTTTATGTTTTAAATGTTGCCATGTGAAAAATACAGTTGGAATGCAGCAGTACCTATGTGCCCTTAAGATTTGTTTGTTTAAGATCTAAAGTTGTAGTATTTAAATATTAGTCAATCAAACAGCTCTTAAATTTTCAAAGAAAGCAGCCTGTAAGAGGCACACTAGCATGTGGGACAGATACGAGTGTTTAGCGGAAGTTAGTGTGACAGATGGTGTGAACGTTGTTGCTTAATTGTCTAATGGAGATGTGAAAAACAGGAAGACCTTGGATGCAAGTGAAAAGTAAAATCAAGACGGACTACCCAAAGGTTCAATACACATCGTGGACGGTATAGTTCTCTTCCTGTTATGATTTATACTATTACTATGACATACGACAATGTAAAACCATTCATAATCGTAAAATCTTACATGGTTGGAAATGCAGTTCTGGCCTGTTCTGGGGTGGATAAATCACCAGTATGTGCCACTGCACCTCCGTGTCATCTTCCACAGCTTGGTCGCTTTTGGCTGGTACATACTATAAACTTAAACCTCCTTTTTGCTCTATGATATACATTTAATTCATTCTTCTTGATTCGTTAACAAACTGCCTTGTACTTTCCTTTTTTTTTTTTTCAGGGGAATTTTCCTAAACTTGCAGGCAAGATCTGTGGCCTTACCAAAAGCCTAGTGAAACCGATGAAATTTTTCGATTGGCCTCAGATGATTTGTTGCCCCCATTGAGTTATTCTAGTTAGCTCACAGATGATCTCTCTTGAACAATTATGAACTCCAAATACTAGATGTAAGTCATGGATTCCCTTTTTCTTGTATGCTGGATGTTGTAGAAAATATTCTCAATGAATAAAACGAGTGATCTGTTTTCATTATTTTTTGCCAAACGAGTGTAAATTGGCATGTTACAAATCAAAGAGGTTTGTCGTACAGTCTAACTGGAATGACAGTGTGATTAGAGGTGGCAAATCAACTCATTGAGTTGCTAATAGGTACCCATCAAGACCCAGTTAATTTGACGTCACCATAATATAGAAGTGAGATTGGTAGTGGTGAAGAGTGTAAGGTGAAATCAAACTAAATGAGTTTTAATAGGTACCCATTAACAATTAAATTGGTTGATTTGTCACCTCTAACTGTGACAATATCTCAAGTTAATTACTCAATGTTATATAAAAACGTTCATGAAATTGTGATTGGCTTGAGATAGTGACACAGTGGATGCACGTTTCATATAAACTGCCTACGATTCCAAATCTAAGCATTATTTTGCTTACCGTGTTGGTGTTGGAGACCACACTTTGCATCATTGCATTGCATGTGAATGAGATAGCGCAAAGCTCTCGGAGCGAGGGGACAAGAAATATATAAAACAAGCTTGGAGATTGGAGGGCAAATGACTCAGTCTCTAATGTTCTTTAAATAATATTAATCTAACATATTGGCGATCTCACCTTCAATTAAGGGTTGAATGTTGCACCGAGTCACTGACCGTGATGCTCGTGGTCAAATCGGGTTTCCATTATATTATGATAAGTGTTAGGTTTGAATATCGTAAATAGCAAATTCGATATCAATTTATTCTCCTATATTTTAGAAAAGACGTGGAGTACTTGAAGCTAACGGAACTAGGAGCAAAATTGAGCGCAATGATGTTCCATAATTTATACAACTGATCCATTTAGTGGGATAAAACTTTGTTATTGTTCGACTTGGAATATTAAAAAATTGGTTTTTGTTATTGAAAAACACGTATAAAATTAACTTTGGGATGGCTTACTAATCACACATGTTGTGCATCCCCCAAGTCAGATGCTTGTAATACAAGATTGTGAAATAATTCAATTAAGACTTATACTAATTAATTAGTAGCTAGCTAGGAAGGATTTTCAAAGATTAAACACTTTAACAAAGATAGGTCATGAACTTAGGTTATGTAGGTTAATTTGACTGATTCGAGCTAGGTTATATTGAGTTGCAAATAAAGAAGAAAACCACCACTATTGTGAACAACACATCATCTTTGCACTATTCCAAATAATGAAGAAAACCACTACACAATAATTAGGAGTTGAATGAACCACTACAAAGATCCCTTCGTTTTAGAGGATGAGGAGAAGCAGTGCCACTAGCAGGCTACTAGGCCATTACCAAAATTGAGAGATAAACTAAGAAAATGTAGACCAATAATTTATGATAATTTTGAATTGAGGAAAACCACACTTATCACATTTCTAATAAAGTTATAGAACCGACTAACACATACGGATCTCATCTCTATTAAAGAGGTGATATTAACTTATATATGGTACTGGTTTGGTCTTTGAATTCAATTAAATAAGAGCCATGAGAAGTCACATTTGTCTCGATATGCCATTGGACGTACCAATGATCTACTCGCTAGGGCTGTTTATAAGTCAATATCTGTATCCCATTGTGTCACATGCTCAAACCCCAAGAGATAATAAGCCATGAGATTAGATGACTCGTGTTCATGGAGATGAAGGAGTATATTCAAACTTTGTTTTGTGTCTACCATTTGCCTCTCCTACAATACCATTTTAATTAGTTTTGCATGAATGTTATATGTAAGGAATAGAAACTAATCAATATCAGAAAAATAATTGACTGTATGGAGCTGTCAATCTCTTCCTTGAACTTTAATTTTAGCCGATTGCCCCCTTAAACTTTTCTAATTAGCCAATTTTCTTCTTAAACTTTAACTTTAGCGCTCCCCTAAACTTTTATAAATAGCCAATTCCTTCCCCCCAACGTTAGATATTAAGAATTTTAATCTATCTTGATCACGGAAACAACACATAATTGGCTAAATTAAAGTTCATGAAGGAAATTGACAGCTGCATACAAGTTCAGGGGACGAATCAACAAATGCCTCTTTAAATTAAACATATTATAATACATTGTTAGTTTAAGATTCTACCACGACTTCTCCAGTGTAGATAAGTCATTCTATATGCATTAAGCAAGGCAGTGTTGTTGTATAAATACCATACCGAGTACAAATATTTCACTACTTCATCCTCTATGCCTAGGCAATCCACAACTCCAACCACCAGACCCACAACCAATATACAACTCATATACAAATATATAATAATAATTCGATCAAGCCAAAGAAAGTATGGCAGCTTTTCAAGCTTCAAGCATCTTTTGCTTGATGGGATCACCTAATCAAATGCGTTTTCAAAAACGAGTAATCAAAGCTACTACCAATAATACTCCAAAATTCCAGGTGAGTCCTCCAACTTCTCCTCCTCCCAAGCTCCCAACCAAAAGTTTTATCCAGAACTTGGAAAACGATTATTTCCACTCTTCCATCAAAATCAACACCACTGGCAATATGTCAGATGATCCAACGGTGATTCCTAAGCTGTATGCAATCATGGAAGCCATTGCAGACAGAGTGGAGATGCATAAGAACATCGGAGCTCAGCGTGACAATTGGAACCATCTCCTTTTAATCTCCATCAATGCAATAACTCTCACTGCTGCAACCATGGCAGGACTTGCAGCTGCTGCTAGTACTATTTCTACTGCAAAAGCACCCTTTATGGCTCTCAAGCTCTCTTCCACTTTTCTCTACGTATCCGCCACCGCCATGCTGGCGGTGACAAACAAAATCCAACCGTCCCAGCTCGCCGAGGAGCAGCAGAACGCGGCGAGGCTGTTCAAGCAGCTCCATGCACAGATTCAAACAACCCTATCTCTCAACAACAACAGTGTAAGTAATAATATTAATAATGTGGATGTGAATGAAGCTATAGATAAAGTGTTGGCATTGGACAGGGCTTACCCTCTTCCTTTGTTAGGTGAAATGCTCGACAAGTTTCCCAAAACTGTGGAGCCCACAGTGTGGTGGCCAAGAGTACAGAATCATCAAAATAGGGTTCGGGGGGTTGAAGGTGATTTAGTACATGGGAATAATGGGTGGAATGAGAAGTTGGAAGAGGAGATGAGAGAGGTTGCTAGGGTTTTGAAGAGCAAGGATGTGCCTGAGTACTTGAGATTGACTGAAATAGCCTTGAAAGTCAACAGAGTTTTGGCTATTTCTGGTCCTATTTTAACTGCCCTTGCAGCTTTGGGGTCTAATTTTGTGGGTTCAAGTAGCAATCTTGGGGTGTGGGGAGTAATGGTAGGGGTCATATGTGGAGCTTTGGCTAGTGTTGTGAATACATTGCAGCATGGTGGGCAAGTTGGGATGGTGGTTGAAATGTACAGGAGCAATGCTGGTTTTTTTAGGCTGATGCAAGAGAGTATTGAATCAAATTTGAGAGAGAAACAAGTTGAGAGGAGAGAGAATGGGGGAGTGTTTGAATTGAAGGTGGCTTTGCAGCTTGGAAGGAGCTTATCAGAACTCAATCTTGCTGTTTTCCCTGAAAAGTTTGCAAGCAAGCTATTCTAGGGTTGTTGTATATATGTTGGTTTTGGCTTTACCAATTCGGTTAGTTTTTGTCACTTTTGTGTTGTAATTTGTACATTATTGCGTAATTTTAATTTGTTCATACAAATAATCACCATGTCTCGAATAAGATTAATCAAGTGTCAAATTGCTTTTCAATGATTCGAACTTTTGAGTTTTTAGGTTTTTCTTCAAACATTATTGTTATAAAAACCCACTCAATTAAATAATGGTCATTTTAGTGTTTTCTTGACTTAATGTACTTGTCTATACTTTTGGCTACAACTAAATGTATTAGCGAGTTTTTTATTCCTCTAATTTTTTATAAGGACGGTCTTTGAATGAAAAATTGCATGAATTAGTGCTTTTAAGACAATTAAATTAAACAAAAAGTATACAACAATCAGTCGAGTAATGCAGTTCACTAAAATCTAACTAAGAGTGATGGAGCTAGCCTCAAAGCCCAAAATCAAAATTTCCAAACTTTTAGGCTCAAATCCTTACTTGTTACTTGGTAGTGAATATCTTTGTTGGAGAAAAGAGGGAAGGCATGCAAGGGGAATTGCAGCTCATGATTAATTTGAAATCTGCTAGCTGCAGTAGCCATGTTGGCTTCCCCACTCACCACACCACCCTTATTTATTTGCCCCAAGTGGCAACTCATTTTTAAATCTGTCACCATGAATTCCTTTATAAACAATTAAACACGCTACTGGTAATCAGTAAAAGGCTAGCCAATAATACGCTATTTGGTGGCCGACTGCCGTTAATGATAAATCTGGTATATCCACACCAGCCAAATAATGTGTAAACTATATAATAACAAAGCGTTTGTAGCTTGGTTGGTTAAAAATATTCATTTTTACGACATATTTACGAGTTTGGTTCTCCCTTTTCAACTATGGTTGCTTTGCTTGGCTTGAAAAAAAATGTAGTGGTTGGCAAGAGGGAAGAATTTCATCAAAGCCTGAAACTTTGCATCCCTAGAATTGCCCTTTTGACTTTCAATTTAGGTTTATATCCTTATAATCTTATAAAACTTGTCAAGTTAGCCACTCCGATCAAATGTATCAACTTTTCATCAAACTGAGAGTTACTTTTGACTATTTAAGAATCATGTTTTAAAGATAATCAAAAGACACATCACTAAATTAAAAGTCAAAAAGACAAATTGAAAAAATGTTACGAGAATGAAAGAGACATGCACGATGCATCTATGATTCGATTGTTAACCTAACGTGATCTGCATGATGACTCCAAACGGTCGAATTGGAGAACCAATATAAATAGTATAGTTTACAAATTTACTATTTCATCCTATATGTGGTTGGAATTACAAATGCAGGACTGTGTAGTTTTTTAATTTTTAATTTTGGACCCAAAACATTATCACGTAACGAAGGAGGACCATTTCTCCTCTTCGTCCTTCTTCAATAACCAAACTAACACGTTCTTCCCAAAGCTTTCGACTTTAACCACACTCTGCTTACCCACCAAAACAAAAACTCCAGAAAGATGATTCAGCTGCTGTTCGTAGTGATTTTATCAGAAATGGTTCTGATACTGGCGTTTCTGTTCAGGACCCCCTTCAGGAAGCTGGTGATTTTGGGGCTGGATCAGATCAAGCGCGGCCGCGGCCCCGTCGTGGTGAAGACGGTGGCGGCGACGGTGTTTGTGGTGCTGATGACCAACGTTTACAGCATAGTTAAGATCAGAGGGAGCCGGATCGACAAAGCTGCTGTTCTTAGTCCCACCGATCAGGTCCTTATGATCAAGCACCTTCTCGACGCCACTCTCATGGGTAATTTTCAATCTTATGATAACTTTTTCGGTTTTTGTTGTGGGTTAATTGCTAGAACTTGATTGCTATCTGGGTAATTCTTGATTTTTGGGTTTAGTGACATAATCTCCGATAATTTTGATTCTAGTGTGGAATTCTTGAATGTGCATTTTCTTTTTTGTTAATTGTTTAACTTTTGGTTTTTGTGAATTGTGGTTGGAATGTGGTTACTTTGATGGATTTGGGAATGAGATGGATGATGAAAGATTATAACTTTTTGCCTTCCTATATTCACATCACTGTTTCATTAATTTCATTAACAACACTAACTTGTAAGGGAAAGTAAATAGCTAGGTTTTCTAGATCTTAATTAGTTGTTCTGAGAACCTGTTTTCGAGAAATCAAATTCGAGGCATTATGGTGTTATAGTGGCCTGGTTCTGAGTTCTGTGGTTTTCAGATGAATGATGTACACAGGCTGTCGAAAATTATGTGTGCAAATTGCTCACTAAGAGTTTCATATTCCTCGATATTACCCATGATCTGATAGAAATATTTCACTTATTACTGTTGGTGAGGAGCATTTTGTAACTTGACATGTAATTCTCAGAGGTAATGATGAATTCTGTGTCTTGTTCACCTTGCTGCCGTCTATGATTAACGTCTGAAATGGGCCTACTTACCACCATACAGCCCTTTTGAGCAAGAAACTGAGCTCTTTTTTCGTTTAGTTAAGTTGGCAGGTTAAATGCTAAAGTAATTTGTAGAGGAAACCAATAGGTCCTTCTATCCGGAAATAGCATTGATATTGTAGACAGCAATGTGATTATATCAGCTGCACTTTGTTTGTATCGGTTGTATCAGCACAGAAGTATTTTATTTGCTTCTCCTTTTCTTTGTTAAATGCAAGTTTCAGTTTTCATTATGTCATCAGTGTATAAAAAAAATGTCGTACCCAGTGCACAAGGCTCCCGCTTTACGCAGGGTCTGGGAGAGGTGAATGTCGGCTAGCCTTACCCCCATTTATGGAGAGGCTGCTCCCAGGTCTCGAACCCGAGACCTATCGCTCATGGGCGAAGGCACTTGCCATCGCACCAAGTGCGACCTCTTAAATGACACCAGTGAAAAACAGATATGATGTCCTTTATTTGTACTCTTAAAGAGTAACTAATGTTAATTGAGTTTTGAATTGATTTTTGTTCAATCCATTGTTCCCCTGCCTCGTCTGTATGATGAGGATGAAATGAGAATCAATCTAATCATGTCCTACATGTTTAATTAACTTTTAAGTAGATTCGCACGCTCCTTACCCCTTTTCCCCGATATTTATAGTAGCTTTCGCTTGCTGACAGTAAAAGATAATTACCTAGCTGAACCGTCCTTAATAACCCATGTTGTGAATTGCATTGTGGTTATGTTGCTACAATTTCTGTTTACGAGATGTTCATTTCGGTGGGGAGTTTCATGTTTCATGAATTCCTATTGCTTACTGAGTGATAATCTTGTCAGTCTTTGACTCATTTGCATCTCCCACTTGCAGGATGCTCCCTATTTCTTGCTCTTATGATAGACAGACTACACCACTACATTAGAGAACTTCGTATACGAAGAAAGGGCATGGAAGCCCTTAAGAAACAGAACAGAGGATCTGAGGATGGAAAATCTAGCAGTTTGGATAAGATGAAAGTCTTGGAGAATGAGATGGCTACATTGCATACGAGACTCAAACAACTAGAATCTGAAATCGAGACAAAGACGAAAGATGTTCATACTGCAGAGTCCAGCATCCTTGCTCTAAGAAAACAATCGGAAGGGTTTCTTCTCGAGTATGATCGTTTACTTGAAGAAAACCAAAACTTAAAGAATCGGTTGCAGTCAGTTGACTGGAAAATGTCACGTTCAAGTAGCAAGAAAGATTCATAAAGGATTTTAACCACATTTTGAGATTTTTAATTTGTTATTTAATTTCACAGAAGTTGTTCGTGAGTGTTTTAAGATGGGTTTATTAATTACATTTAATTTGTCATATATGCTAATTCTGAGGGGTGAGAGAGAGAGGCTCACCACTTTGTACGGCTAATGTAACTAAAAGTTGAGTGTTGAAGTATAATCCATAAAATTATTCAGTTTTGTCTTGATAAACTGTGATATATTTTCATGCCATCGATTAATGATATGGTTTTTTTTTTTTTCTCTAATTTTCATTTGCAAGTTAACATCCATTTCCTGCCTTAGTGTTATAGTAAATATCGAATCCGATCCCATATAATATATGTTACTCAGTTGGAGAGAGTTACACATACCCAACACGCCACAAAGGTGCATTGAGACTTTCTCATGCTGTAGGACTTACTTACCTTTGGCTAAGAGTGCATAGAAACGTATGTATTACCCATTCCCTCATGTTAAGCCACACGGATTCTCATACAATTAACAATAACACCCATACATTTCATCCGAATGATACATTTCTTGTTATATTAGAGAGCATTAAAAACCAGAACTGGGCAATACACAAACACTACAAGCAATATACGTTCTTTGTCTGTTCATGTTTGCATGGCTTCATGATCACAGGTTTCTGAATACTTCATAAATAACCGCTGAACTTCACATTGCAACTTGATTCTTTTTGTACTACTTTAATTCATGGAAGTATCTCCAAATATCCATTGGATTAAACAATTATTTATGTTAAATTATTTAGGGGACATTTTACCAAATGAAGGAATCACGAGAAACAAGCAAACTTAATTAGATAAACTCACGGTGCCGATTTAGTCACTTTCATTGGATTTGAAAATATCCTGTGAATTGCCTAAGGCTATTGATATTTTTACCTTCGTGGGATAACTTGTTTGCAGACTTGAGAGGAAGCGTAGAAAGGATTTCATACCAGAAAGAAATTTATTTTATCATAATTCAAGAACTTGAGGTAGGATACTTGGCTGACAACAAACTGCTCTTGGATATTAATCCATTTTCAGTTACCAATTGGAATTTATCGTCCATTTTCATGTAGAAGAGCCACATCGTTCCTTTAACAGTATAGACATGCAAGGCTGATAATAAAATGCATAGTACCTAAACAAGATAATACATAAGCAAGACTGATACCTAAACAAGATAAGACAGCAGCAAGGATGCATGCCTATGCCTTCAGTCTTCCTCTCCATACATCAAATCCGGCTTGTATTGGTGCAGTGCCATAAGCATTATATTTTCATGAGCTTCAAAAGCGCACATCAAATCCTAGTCAATTACATGTGCCCAACGTCCAGCAAAAACAAACAACTTTCTGAATTGATTACATAAAGTAACTTCGTAGTAAATAAAAAAACATAGTAACATGAGTGAAGTGTTTTGCTATGTTCCGCACAGTAATCAGATACTACACTACCCATTCAGATTGACAATTCCACATATATATATATATATATATATATATATATATATATATATATATATATATATATATATATATCCTTCTTACTTGAACCCATGTAGGCATTCCCCAGCAAGGCCTTCCACGGCGGGATAGAAGCATCAATTCCATGAGATAAAAAGACTCTAGATCTGATTCCCTCGAATCATTTTCTCTAGAAGATGCCTAACAAAAAATGTCTTCCGTGATATTATGGTTTCTGAAGTCATCATAGAATGGTGGTTTCGCAGCAAATACTTTGCAAATCTATGAAATAAATAAACAAGTATGCAAGTATAATTATTAAGAAGCAATAAATATCGACTCAAAAGGTAACGCATAAACAATTCAAAACCCAACTTATAGTTTGACTCCAAACAAATAAACAAATCATTAAGTATCTGAAGAAGTGTTCCTCCAAACAGGGGCTTCAACGCCTTACGTAAATCATTTATATCATTAGCATCATCATCTGTTATATGAGCATCCTTACGGTGTAAGGTTACAACTCTCCTACCATTCCAAAATAAGTTTTCTAAGCGAATGTTCAAATGATGATCCACTGGAATAGTAGGAGAATGGTAACCTTACACCGTAAGGATGCTCATATAGCGAATGATGATGCTGATGATATAAATGATTTACGTAAGGCGCTACAGCCCCTGTTTGGAGGAACATTTTCTCAGATACTTAATGATTTGTTTATTTGTTTGGAGTCAAACGTGCAAGTTGGGTTTTGAATTGTTTATTGCGTTAACTTTTGAGTAGATATTTATTGCTTTTTATAATTATAATTGCATAATTGTTTATTTATTTCATAGATCTATAAAGAATTTGCTGCGAAACCACCATTCTCTGATGACTTCAGATGTCAGAATATCATGAAGGGCATTTTTTGTTAGGCATCTCCTAGAGAAAAGGATTTTAGGGAATCACTTTTTTTTTGCTAACTATGTTGTACCTACTCATGGATATAGAGTCTTTCTATCTCATGGAATTAATGCTTCTATTCCGCCGTGGAATGTCTTGCTAGGGAATGCCTACATGGGTTCAAGTAGAAAGGATACATACATGTGGAATCGTCAATCTGAATGCGCAGTACAATATTTGATTACTGCACGCAACATAGCAGATCACTTCACTCATGTTAGTATGCTTTTTTTTAACTACGAAGTTACTTTCGGTATTTTTATGTAATCAATTCAGAAAATTGTTTGTTTTTACAGGATGTTGAGGCACACGTAATTGACAGGGATTTGACATGCGCTTTTGAAGCTCATGAAAATATCATGCTTATGGCACTGCACCAATACAAGCCAGATTTGATGTATGGTGAGGAAGAGTGAAGGTATAGGCATGCATCCATGTTGCTATCTTATCTTGTTTAGATACTTTGCATTATTGTTTTTACAATCAGTCTTGCTACTGTCTTATCTTGTTTAGGTACTATGCATTTTATTATCAGCCTTGCATGTCTACATGAAAATGGACGATACATTCCAATTGGTAACTGAAAATGGATTAATATCCAAGAGCAGTTTGTTGTCAGCCAAGTATCCTAGCTCAAGTTCTTGAATTATGATAAAATAAATTTCTTTCTGGTATGAATTAATATCCAAGACCGTTAACTGTATAGGCATGCATCCATGTTGCTATCTTATCTTGTTTAGGTACTTCGCATTATTGTTTTTACGATCAGTCTTGCTACTGTCTTATCTTGTTTAGGTACTATACATCTTACAATCAGGGTTGAGTGATAAATGAAGTAACAAGTAGACATTTGCAATCAAACAAAATACAAAGGATTGAGTCATGTACCGACTTAAGACCCAACAAGTGCATTGAGACAAGGGTGCCCTCTGCCTTGTAAAGACAAAATAACTGTTAGCGGTCGGATCTACTGATTTTGAGGCATAACATAAATAATAGCATCATTCTTCAGTGTTTAACCTTAATCTCAAATAAAAGAAAATACTTAGGAAGATCAAATTTAACACAAGACCATATATACCTTGGGTGGCAGGGGAAAAACATATATTGTTATATGTTTAAACCGCTCACACAATTCAGGAAAGAATGGATGTATCCATTTAGAGGCTGCACTGCCCATTGCCCATTGACCAACAAGTAAGTAAATTCATTACTTGGAAAATAAAAGAAACAAAAATGACCATTCATATAATGATGATCAAATGCAACAACAAAAATGAAAGTAAATTCATGGATCACGACTTAGACATACTTTTCTTGCAACCACAAGCCGTGAAGTAGAGAACCGATGGAAGGCGTTCATCTATCTCAATAATAAAAATGATTGAATTAGAAAAATATATATAGAATAAAACCACAAATTATTCAACGAGGTTTGGTGTAGAGAGAATCTTAAAAATGTTGTAAAATCGGCGATATGTGCAGTGGAATAAATGAAATAAGACACAATATTTACGAGTTACCTCTATAGTCAATGTGACTGGAGTAAGTTTTCGGAACAGCAGTGGTGTTTTCATTTATAATCTGAAATAATGAGAGTACAAATATAACTCTCTCTATTCTCTCATCTCTTCTTCCTCTCCTATTTCCTCATCTCTTCTTTCTCTCTTCTTCCTTTCTTTGATGTTGTTTCATAATTCCCTCTTCTTCCTCTCTTTGATGTTGATTCATAATTCCCTCTCTTCTTGATGTGTGTTCTTCCTTTTACACTATGATCTTCCATATATAGGCAAATGAATGGATAAGATGTTAAATCAAAATCTACCACACTTAATGTTTTTACCTACTACATTTATTAATTTTTTACCTAACCAAACCTACTCCCACACTTACTACACCTATTAATCCTTTACCTAACCAAACCTAATACTCTCACTAAATACATCCAATATTTACAGCAAAAAATTAAGAGGTATTCATCAATTTCCCCCCTGAACTTGTGACTATTGGTCAATTTCCCCCCTCAACTTTAATTTTGGCCAATTTCCCCCCTCAACTCTCATAATTAGTCAATTTGCACCCAATTGTTAATTTTTTTTTTTTAATTTTCCATCTATTCTTTTTTTTTTTCAATCTTTCTAATAACTTCCAACAAAGTACTAAAATTAACATAAACTCACTTGCATAATATAGGGTAAAATGTACAAAAACATTAATACAATTAGTATGTGATATGGGTTGATTATAAGAAAAAGTTATGAATCGGTTTAAAGCATGTAAAAGAAGAAATAATAACAAAAAGACATAATAATCATAAACTCATGGATCAGACATATTTCAATAAAATAGGTTATTCTTAATAATGAGTAAAAAATTATGAATTGACTAGCCATTTTTGCACTAAAACTCGATTCTCTACAATTTACTTGAACTTAGCTTTCACCTTTATAAAGAAAATTGTATTCACATACAAAAATGTACACATCAATCCTTTTCGTTATCAATTTTGTATAGTAAAAAATCAAATAAAATTACGCCATACTGATTTATTATGACTAATAATACTATCTATGATAAATTGTAAAATTCTAAATTTTAATCTATTTGTAATAGGATAAAGATATAGGAAAATGATTAACATACATCTTATTTAATTTCTTACACACACTTGTTTAATTATGATCAAATTAAAAAATTAATAGTAGGGTGCAAATTGACTAATTATGAGAGTTGAGGGGGGAAATTGGCCAAAATTAAAGTTGAGGGGGGCAATTGGCCAATAGTCACAAGTTCAGAGGGGAAATTGATGAATACCTCAAAAATTAATACCTTTAATTTTGTTCAGTGCCCTGTCATAAGTTCATAACCAAATGCAGTATTAAAGAGGACAATGTTTGCTGGATATGGACGTGGAGGTACTGTATCAGCTAGAGGACCTGAATCCAAATCATTTTTTCCTTTTTTTTTTGGGTTCCTCATTTTTGGGCAACGATTCCAAATCCGATTCCCCAGTTTGAATCGATATATTTGTTTTTCGTCGGAGGGATCGTCGGTGTTGGAGAGAATGAAGAGAATAGGATGGAATAATCGATAAACAGGGTAGGGTTTTGGTAGGATTAGAAACAAATGAACTTTAACGAAAAACTTTGATACTGTTCATTTTAACGAAAAACCACATTTTTACAATAAAAAATCAATTTTGATACTATTTACTTTACTTTTTATTTTGTCATTATAGTCAAAACTCAAAGTTTTCAAACTATTTTTATTAATTTTCCTTGAAAACAGTGTGCATACGACGGTGGAGGAGAACACCAACACCAGCACGGCCGCATCAAAAACCCTAAATTCCTCTTCGCCATTCTCCGCCTCTCTCTTCCGCTTCTCTTTCTTTTGGGTGTTTTCTATCAAGTATTTATTGTCTCTACCCATAGAGGTAGGCAAGAGCTGCTTCTGACTGCTTTGGGCTGGGCTTATTGGGCCCTTTTTTCTAGAATTTGCCCAGCCCTAACACATATTTGAGGTTTCGAATCTTCTACCCAACAAATAAGTTCGCCAGACAATCCAACCTCATATTTGAACAATTGTCCCCAATATTAATAGAATCCAAGATTGAGCGGTAATTTTCAAACTCGATATTCATGAAATTCGATTTTAAGACCTTTCATTACAAGTGAAAAGAAAACTACCACTAAATCATTGCGAAATGACTTATTTTATTTAAGAAAAGCAAGCTACACGAAATGGTTTAAATTTGCAACATGACTCAAGGGCACCTTGTCGTATGAATTCACCTTTTACCCTTGAAGCATAGTTCGGTTCTAGAAATAGTGTATTTTTGCACTACTTTTCTTGATAAAAAAAAAAAAAAAAAAAAAAACTAGTTCGTTAACTATGTAGTGTGGATACTAAATTGCCTAGGAAAAAACTAAAATATCAACTTTAGTTCTCTCCCTCTCCTCTGTGCGGCTCACCTCTCTTCCACGAGAGAAGGGGAAATACAACAATACCAACCAAACTTTTATCTTACTAAATGGTGTGGCTATATAAATCCTAGAACGTCACTGCGTTTTGTTTTTTCCGCCAAGCCTTTCATTAACACTACTACAAAACTACCCATTACTGGCATAAATAAAAACGACAAGAAAAGGTTATTACTGAGGGATTTTAAGCAAAATCCGACAGAAAATGGTTGCAGTGGCGGATATCATAAGCGACAGCATTGCTCGCGTCAGGAAATAAATTTTCCGACAGAAAATACTATAAAACCGACACTACTACTGTCGGTTTTATCCGACAGAAATTTCGTCGGTTATAACCGACAGGATATATATTTATTTATTATAATTTATGTCGCATAAAACCGACAGAAAATACTAAAACCGTCAGGAATTCTGTCGGATATAACCGACAGAGAATTTATTATAAAATATATAAAATCATTCTTGTCAGATACAACCGACAAAAAGTATATTAATAAATAAAAAATCTGCGTTCACCATCCAAAACCTCACCGGAGCTCGAGCTCGAACTCGAAAACATTAGATACCTCAACAACTTGAACAAACAACCAAAAACCCAAGAAAAAACACACAAAAAGCTGAGAGAGAGTAGCAGATTTGATGGAGCTCGAGCTCGAACTCGAAAATAATATGTCGTGGCCTTTTGCTCTCTACCACTGGTTGAGCAAGATTGGATGGAGCCGAAGCTACAAAAGGTTCTATATCCCAAGGAGAACTGCAGCATGCTCGAGCTCGAACTCAAAAATAATATGTCGAGGCCTTTGAACTGCAGCATGCTCATCCCATTGAACCTGCAAGAAATACAACTAAAGATAAGTAGATGAACAGGAAGAAATAAAACAGCATTTGATCTGTAACTTGTTAGCATCTTAACCTTCAACGATCACCATTTAGATTCAGTCCACTGAGGACATAAATCCCCAACCTCAACTATTGTGCCTGTGAACCTGAGCAATATGAGAGACACACAGAGAGAGAGAGAGAGAGAGAGAGAGAGAGAGAGAGAGATAGCTAAAGCTAGGGTTCGAACTGGAAGTAAATGAGGAGAGGAGAGAAGAGAAGGAGAAGGAAATGAGGAGAGGAGAAAATAGGGAAGGGAGAAGCACCGACGGCAGGGAGAGATGGAGGGGGGGTTATAATGTGGAAATGCTTCATTACTGTCGGTTAAAACCGACAGAAATGTTTTTAATAAAAATCGACAAATTTTTTTTTAATAAAAACCGACAGAAACTTTCGTTAATGTCGGTTATAACCGACAGAAACAAAATGGAGGCAAAAATTTTAAACTTTCCCCCAAATTTTAAAATTTTAAACTTTCCCCCAAATTTTAAATTCCCCCCCCCCCCCCCCAAATTTTGTTACAATTTTAAAAAATAAAATAATAATTGTTTGGTTTAATAAATAAATAAATAATATGTATTTAAATAGAATATGTTTTTAAAAATTAAATAAATAATTCTTTGGTTTAATAGATAATTTTTACATTTTTGGTTTAATAGATAATAATCCATGTAAAATATGCGATAAATAAACAAAAAGAGAATTGTACAATGAAAATGTCTTCACACGAACTAAATATTGTCTAATCAATACTTGAAAAACATAAATAAAAATTTAGCACATATTACTTTTCCCACTTCAATTTAGCACAAAATTTTGGCAAATTTATGCATTCTACGAAATTAGTTTCCATGATCTAACCGTCAAACTTGTTTGTAGATACTATAAGATCGCATATGTAAAAAATCGTAAAAAACAAACATTCAAAGATTACGTAACGGAACAAAAGTTTTCGACGGTTATAAACGAAAATTCATAATTTAACGGTTATTTTAGCTTCGATTTTAATGATTTTTTACAACTACACTCTTCGACCCTATAAGAATGTAATGAATGAATTTGATCTTCAATTTAAAATATTTACACTAGTGAATACCACAAAATCTTATTTTATTCTTAATGGAAGTATAACATTAACTCTAAGTGTTTGTTTAATCTACTGTTTTGATGTGATACGCATTCTAAGAAGCTTTTTTCAACGATCCAACCGTCAAAATTATTTGTATACACTCCGAGATTGCATACGTAAAAAATCGTAAAAAACAAACATTCAGAGATTACATAACGGAACAAAAGTTTTCGACGGTTACAAACAAAAAATCACAATTTAACGGTTATTTTAGCTCCAATTTTGATGATTTTTTACAGCTACACTCCTCGACCCTATAAGAATGTAATGAATAAATTTGATCTTTAATTTAAAATATTTACACTAGTGGATACCACAAAATCTTATTTTATTCTTAATGGAAGTATAACATTAACTCTAAGTGTTTGTTTAATCTACTGTTTTGATGTGATACGTATTCTAAGAAGCTTTTTTCAATGATTCAACCATTAAAATTATTTGTACACACTCCAAGATTGCATACATAAAAAATCATAAAAAACAAACATTCAGAGATTACATAACGGAACAAAAGTTTTCGACGGTTACAAACAAAAAATCACAATTTAACGGTTATTTTAGCTCCGATTTTGATGATTTTTTACAGCTACACTCCTCAACCCTATAAGAATGTAATGAATAAATTTGATCTTTAATTTAAAATATTTACACTACTGGATACCACAAAATCTTACTTTATACTTAATAGAAGTATAATATTAACCAAGTGTTTGTTTAATCTACCGTTTTGACGCAATATGCATTATACAAAACTTTT